ACCCGCCACAATATCAAATGATTAAGTACTGGACTTTGGGTCTTGCTGTTGAAAAACTTCCATCTCCACCTAATTTTACATAATATTTTCTAGGCCACATTTCTCTACTTTTTCTGTCCAGATAGGATGAAAAACTTCTCAGATGTTTTACCAAAATATAGATAAACTGTATTTATGGTATAGTCCCTTGGTTTAGGGGAGTCTGTTGAAAGAAATCTAGGAATATGGTCAAAAAAGGAACTAGTATTGTTGTGGTATGAGAGGTTGAGACACCTCAAAGACTGGAGTACAGGACAGTGTTGTCTGGAATGAATTCACAGACTCAAGCATTCTTTAAGTCAAGTTGGCAAAAAGTTTATCGTTATGCTTTTTAGCAGGCAAGGATTCTTTTTTTTTTCTCAGACGTAACCATTTATTTAACAATTAGGCCAAATAAATTCCATAGATATTAATGTTAAAGCAAAAGGCATAATCACAATACACATGTCACGCTCCCTTAATACATACCATAATCTGCTATTAAATGTACATGAAGAAACAGTTTTCAAATGTCCACATTCAGATGGACAGTTTTGAGACTGAAAATGCCCTGTGCATAATTTTTTAATGCTACAGCACCTCACCTGAGAGGTGGTGAAAACTAAATACACATTAGAGGAATTTCAGAAAAGCAGATAGACATGGGAGTCAAACACATGGGCTTAGAGTAAAGCACAACTTTGGATTTCAGTTCACCCTCATCACTCCTCATCTTCTCCATAGGAACATAGCATTTTTATAAGCCCTTTCAATTAACCCTCATCCTTTAAAGGGAGTTTAGAAAACCTCAGGTTTTAATAGTATTATCCTTCTGTTTACACCAGAAGGACTGCAAAATTTAATCAAACTGTCTCTAGCCAATTATTCAGTCAAACGGTTGCTGCCTCGTCCAGTCAGAACAGGCCTCCCAGCCACCAACTTGAGGTTGACTCTTTAAGCTTGTTGACGTGGCGCAGGCAAGGATTCTTAAGGAACCTGCGAGAGACTGAGGAAGGAGCTAGGGTTTATATGGGAAAGGAATGCCAGAGATACTGATCAGGTAATCTAAAGGTCCAGGTGTCTTTGGGAGCTATAGATGGGAAAGTACAGGGAGTATACCAGATAGGGAGGGAGATGACAGAGGTATGGATCTTGGGAATCTGGCAGGAGGAAGAGTCACTGGGCCAGCCAAGAACAAAACTCCTTGGGCCAGACAAGATACCCCCTCTCTCTGTCCTGATTAGAGAATGCTTTGCAACAAGGGAAAGTTTTCTCACAAGACAGGAGCTTCCTAAGTAATTGGGAGGCTTCCAGAGCATGATCTTAGGGCTAGGGGCAGCCCAGCGCTCTCTTACCCAGCTTTGTGTAACTGCACCGGGGACAGAGGTAAGTGTTTTGCTGAGGCCCATTCATGAGTAATTGCTAGGCATAATGTCCTTGGGCTGGGGGAAAACTGTCAGAGAAAGTTTCTGAGACTAGAGAGAAATTGAAGTCCAAGCACAAGCACCCAAGTACCCCATCAGTATTATTTTAGGATGGTCTGTTCTTGATGAAACTCTGCTGCCTTATCATGATAACCACTTCTCTTTTCAGATATTCACTAACCATCTCCATCTTTTTAGTAATATGCTCCAGAATTTTGCCAGGAATCAAATTCAGTTTCACTGGCCTATAGTTAGGAAATTCTCTCTTTCCCCCAGAATTCTGTAGCTCATATTTTAATAGTATAAAGTATATGATTCAGTTAGGCATGGGGGAGTCAAAGACAAAAATGAAAAGTCCCTGCCCTCAAGGAGCTTATATTCTGGGGGAAGCAGGGAAATAACTTATGCAGATAAGTAAATGCAAAATAGTATATACAAAGTAAATGTAAAGGCAGCATATTTGGGAGATAAGGAAAGGCCTCTGTCAGAAAGTATTTGAGCTTTCTGTAAAGGGGGAAGGTAAGGATTCCCAGGTACAAAGGCGGGTGAGAAGCATTGTACATACTGAGGATGGTACGTAGGCTGATTGAACACGTGTACTTAAAGCTGTTAGGCTTGATTCCAGTTCTCTTTGGATCTGCTTCACCAAGAGCTTTCCCTGGTGCCATCACACTAGTGCCTCTTCCACCCCATTTCCTGTTCCATAAACTCATATGTTGTTATGAAACCTTAATTCCAGAGAATAAAAGAGGAAGGCCAAATTTGTTTTTTGTTCATAAATTTCTTGGTTTCTCACATCGTACATACACCACAAAACTCCCAGTTAATCCTCTATAAAGTACAATCTTGGGAAACGTATTAGGCAAAACAGCACATGAGAGTGATTGCTGCTGATCAAACCTTTCATTTGAATGGTTTACCATTCCTTGAAGTGTACACATCCCTTTCAGCTTTAATGTCTGGGTGACGATATAATCCATTTTTATAGGAATATAGATTCAGAAGTGGAGAGACCTTTAGATGCCATCAAGTCCAACCTCTTCATTTTACAGGAATCTGGGGCACTGAATTTGAACACAGATCTTCTCGATTCTCCAAGTCCAGAGCTCTGTCTGCTCCCCTCTACCTCTTTGATCTGAATTTTGTTGCTATGTAAGGTTGTATTAATTTATCTAGTTGTAGACGTTGTATATATTCTTTTTTGTTTGTATGTTTTGGGGGTTTTTTTGGTGAGGCAGTTGGGGTTAAGTGACTTGCCCAGAGTTACATAGCTAGTGAGTGTTATGTGTTTGAGGTCAGATTTGAACTCAGGTCCTCCTGACTCCAGGGCAGGTGCTCTATCCACTCTGCCACCTAGATGCCCCACCCACCCAAATTGTATATATTCTTTTGGATATGCTTTCTTTATTCTACATCATTTTAAACAAATGTTTCTATCATTCTGTTAGTTCATAATATCAATTCTTTATAGTATGACATTTCATTACATTCAGATGCCATTTCCCAGTCTTTGGGCACTCACACTTTATTTCCAACTGTTTGATTATGTGTATGGCGCTATGAATTTTTTTTCTTCTTTTAAATAACATATAATGATGCTGTTTGTTTTTGTATCATAGTCATTTTTAGGGAGGAAGAAATCCCTTCCCTGCTACATTGAACCCTCCATTGTGACAAAGAAAAACAATTTAACAAAAACATACATTACAGGGACTTAGTCTGACAGTGTATGTAACATTCTATCTACCCCAGTACTCTCTCTTCTCCTTTTTCTCCCAACACTCCATTATAAGGAAGAAGGTGTATGTTTTTGTATAGATGAGATTTTTCTTAATGTCAGTGACCTTTTTGGGATATAAGCCCAGTAATAGGATCACTAGGTTAAAGTTACAACTTTGTAACTTTTTTTGCGTAATTCTGAATTGTTTTCTAAAAATAATTTAGATTAATTCACAGCTCCACCATTGGTGAATCAATATGAAAATCCCAACCATACATTTTATTTTTAGGTTTGCTGCCTGGATTCTTTATGTGCAAGAAGACACACTGCATGGTCGTTTTCCCAAAACTTGACTTGTTTTAAACTTGTGAACTTTATTAAGGAATTTGTTCTTGGGTTTTTGTTACTGTTTTCAGTAATGGTAAATCTGGTAGATGGAGCATTGTACTTGGAGTAAAAGACCTGTGTTCAAGGTCTAATTGCCATTTACTAGTATGATCTTGTAGTTAGCTTCTCTGAGCTTTGGTTTCCTCTTTTTTAAAGGGGAAATACTTGCAGCCTACTTCCCTTGTCCTGAGAATCACAACATAAAAGACTATCTTAAGTTTTGGGGTACCTAATAGAGAATGGAGAGATGCTTACTAAATGTAATTAGATGTATCTTCTCCGTATCACTCCAGTTACAGTAGTCTGAGATACAAGAAAGTGAAATGAGCGACATTTAGTGAAAGCTGTAGAGAAGCCAATTTTGACTTAATATTAAGAAAATTCCAAATAGAGCCACCCAAAAGTTTTGGAATAAGCTGCTTCATAGATTTCTGGGCTGTGTTACTGGAAGTCTTTAGACAGAGTCTGGCTGACAGCTTGTCAACGATGATATAAAAGGGGATTTCTGTCTGGGTACCGTTTGTACTGTGAAGTACCTTTCAATTCCGAACTTCTCCAAAATAAGATAACATATATATAAAATGCTTTACAACTCTTAATTTGTTTTGTTATTGTTTAGTCATTTCAGTTGTGTCCAACTCTTTGTGACCTCATTTGCAGTTTTCTTGGCAGAGATACTGCAATGATTTGCCATTTCCTTCTCCAGCTCATTTTACAGATGAGAAAACTGAAGCAAACAGGGTTAAGTGACTTGCTCAGGGTCACACAGCTAGTGTCTGAGGCCGTATTTTTAAACTAAGGTCTTGCTGACTCCTGGTCCTGTGCTGTAACCACTGTGCTACCTAGATGCCCTTACAACTGTAAAGGGCTATATAAAGATGAACCACTGCTATTCTCTCTCTTCCTTGACTCCTACCTTGCACATTGGCATCCCCTGCTTCTTAAGCTTAAAAATTTTGGTTCTCTCAAATATCAGATGAACTTTGTTTCATTTCCTCTCCCTTTCTTAGAAATTTTGGGTAGATGGGCCTAGGGGTTTTTGGATAACTCCTTCCCTCCCATCCCCATACTAGGTGTATGTGCCAAGACAATGAGACTAGAATTACTTTGTTATTATTTAGACTCTAGGTGGGTTTGTGTCTTTTGTTTTTTAATTTTGTAGGGTTTGCTCAATCTGTTGAATAGGACAGAAGTGTCTTAATGATAACAGAGGGCTTTTTAGAGCCCCTGGTTCAATTCCAGTCTTTGCATCATTTCAAATCAGTATTAAAACCTTTTAGATGGAACCTTGTAGGACTTGCCCTTTCAACTCATACCTTTGATCTCATGGATCTAAGACAAGGGCTTTGTCCCTAAATGGGCCCAAATCTTAGTAACCCAAAAGGTTATATGCTAAGCCCTTTGTTGGTTGATAATATAGCTAATTCTGATTTATTAATGGTCATGACCAGGAGTGGAGCTGTATAATGCCTACACGATGGACAAAGAGTTAGAAGCTGAGATCCACCCATTGAAGCCTGATGACAGAAAGCCTCGGGGGAATTCGGAAAGCCAAACTGAAAAGGATGGTTCCTTTAAAAAAGCATCTCATCATTCCCGGTTTGCCCAGTGCCGCACAGTCGTTTTTTTCTTTTTGTTATTTACCTGCCTCTTTGTGGTATTCATCATTTCATTCATCATCCCATGTCCAGATCGGCCTATATCACAAAAAATGTGGGAAATAAATTATAACACAGCAGGTAAGTCGGCTATAAGTATGTTCATTTTCGCCTTGTTCTGCCTTCCACTGGACTTTACTATGAAGAGTTCAGGCTTTTTTCTGTGTAGGAATGAATGGCCCAGAACATGGGTCCTAAACAGTTACTACTGCTTCCTTGTAGTTGAACGAAGCTGTAAAAAAAAAAAAAGGCTGTTACAAGGAAGAAATGAGAAATAATCACCTCACTCCCAGATTTAACTGACCTGCTGTCCATTTTGTAAATAGCCAGGTGTTAAAGTGAATACAGTTGGCCTCACAAATTTACTCATAAATGGGCTAGTAGACATGAAGCCTGCCATAAAAAATATGAACAATTGACCAATGTGGAAATATGTTTAATAGGATTGTACATACATAGCCTATGTCAGATTGCATGCTGCCTTGGGGAAGGAGGGGGAAAAATTTAGAACTCAAAATCTTATCAAAGTGAATGTTGAAAACTAAAAATTAATTAATTGGGGAAAAAAAGTGATTCCTGGTAAATTTTGTTTTACAAACTGTTTGACCAAGGTGCCATCAATAGCCCTTAATCTGCAAGTATAGAGAGCATAACCAACACTCTTCTCCTCCCTCACTGAAACTGGAAGCTTCCAGCTTCCTTAAATTGACTATTAAATACAGTGACTGAGTCAGTCTTTTCAGGACATTCCATTTCTTTCATAATGCTCAGGAAAACAGAAGCATGTGGTACTATTTGAGTGGATATGAATTTGAATAATTCTGAGAATGCTTCTTTGTGCTCAGTCTTGAGAGGGCCTCTTGATAGTGCATGTAAAGAGCATTGTAAGCTATAACATGTTGTATAAATGTAAGTTGTTATTATTGAACTCTAGAAGATCATCATTCATGGTCAGGAATAAACTTCTCTTGAGTTTTGGGGTTAGATACTTCACAACTAGAGCTGGCTTTGTTGGCCTTTAAACTCATTCCGATGTCCATTGGGTCCCTCTGTTAAAGAGAAGGGAAAAGAAATAGTTTACATTTTTTCCTAAGAGTAGTAAAATGCTCTCTACTCATCTTGGGAAGGTGCTAAATAGGGAACAGAAAAGTTACAAAATTATTATTCCATCTCTGGTCATCTGTCCTCTTTCATATAGTTAACAGAGATATAATATTTCAGAGCTTTTCCTCCTTTCCCCTTTGCTCCATCTTCCCATCCCAAAGTGATAGGAAATGAAAAGGGTAGAAAGGGGACCTGGCAGAAGGAAAAAAAGTCTTTGCCTCAGTAATGATATTCCTTATTTACCAAAAGTTCTTTGTTATGTTCTTGTTAGAACTGTTCTTTCCTTTACGGATCATTGCATGTGTTTAAAGTAGTAGCTATGGAAGTCAAATATAGACAGAAAGGACCCATAATGGACAAAAATATTTTTAACAGAACTCTTTGTTGTAGTAAAGGAATGGAAACAAAATGGATGTCTATCAGTTGAGGAATGACTAAACTAATTAAGATATATGAATTAATAGAATATTATTGTATTGTAAGAACTTATGAAAGAGACAGATTCAGAAAACTTAAGAATATGAGCCAGTGCAGAGTGAAGTGAGCAGCAGACACAGAAGAATCATTTTTACAATAACTACAGTTTTTTGAAGCATACTATTTTCACTTTATTTTTTTGTGTTTTTTTTTCTTTTGTTCTATTTCCTCTTTCACAACATGAGTAACATGGAAATATTTTTTAACATGATTGCACATAAATAACCTATTGCTTACCCTCTTAAGAAGAGAGGAGGGGAAGGAGAGAGAAAATTTAGAACTCAAAATTTTATAAAAATTGTCTTTACATGTAATTGGAAAAAATTAAATACTATTTAAATAAACAACAACTGCAGTTTTATGAAGAAAAACAAAAACTTTAAAAGACTTAAGAATCCTGCTTAATTCAAATGACCAGCCATGACTCTAGAAGACTAGTGATGAAGCATTTTTCCCACTTCTGCACAGAGGGATAATAGACTTAGAGGTATGAAATGAGACATATGTTTTCAGACACAGCTAATGTACATATTTGTTTTGCTTGGCAATACATATTTGTTTGGCCAGGGGAGGGAACGAGTTTATGAGTAATGAAAGTGACAAAAAAGAGGATAATGAAATATTAAAAAAATAAACAGGGCAACAATAAATTTAGAAGGGACAAAAAATTATTGTAAAGGGGAATATTAATTACCTAGTTGTTATTCATATCTACTTATTACTTACTCCCCAGGTAATGGAAAGTCACTTGGGCTCCCTGGGTGGGCTTCCATGTTCTCATCTGTGAAATAAAGAGGTGATGAATCCAGTGGTCACTGAGTCTCACCAGTTCTCTGCTCACCCAAGGATGGCTGTTGATACTTACTTGTTACTCTTTTTCAGTAACCTATGACTTCATGGCATTTAAAGATATAAACGAAGACACAGTGCAAGATGTTATTTTTCTTTATAAAGACAGCAACAGCAGCAGCAGTTTTAACACATCCTGTGCAGATGAAGGTAATTTTGCTTGTTGGTAGGAGGGAGGAAGAGAACCCACAGTGACTTCTCAGGCACTGTTCTGATTAATCAGATAGAAAAACTTCCTTTCCTTTTTCTGGCAGAAACATTAGTCAAGAGAGTAAGTGTTTGGCACCTAGTATATAGATTGGCTGAATTTGTCAGTAATGATTGTACAGCAGTGTTTCTGATGATCATTTGAAGACACATAAGCCTGGAAAATGAGAAGGCATATATGATGTGTTCATTTGACAAATATTTGTTGTGTCTAAGGTGTGTAGATCAGTGATCAAACTCAAACAGAAATGGATCGCTGCACCACTCATTGACTTACAGAACCACAAATTGACATTATCTGTGTGGTATTACGTTTTTATTTGTAAAATAAAAATGTATGTTTATCTGTATACGCTTATGTTTATTTATTTTGTTAGACATTACCTAATTATATTTTAACTTAGTTCACCCTGCACTTGAGAGTTTTGCAGGCCATGAGTTGGACGCCTCTGGTGTATTTCACTGTCCTGGGTACTATGGCTGGGGACAAAAATAATTGAGAGATTTTTCTGACCTCAAAAAGTTTAGTTTAGTGAAAGAATTCTTAACCTGGAATCTGTAAATTTTTTTAAAATTTTTTTATAATTTTATATTTCAATATAATTGGATTCCTTTGTTATGTTATGCATTTTATTTTGACCTTTTAAAAACATTCGGAGAAGGGGGGAACCATGGGTTTCATCAGACCGACAAAGGGGTCTGTGCTACAAAAAAAAGTTAACCCCCAGACCAGTTTTAGGTGGGAATGGAGGGGAATATAAGTTTAGACTGGAATGGGCCTGAGATTGTCTGGTTTCGGGGGATTGGGTGAATGATATTATAGTGAAGAGCTACAGCTTTAGTATAGGACTTGGTTATGATCATAAAAAATGTGAGAAATTATGTTGGGGCAATTTTACATAAGGTTTACCTGGAACAAAAATATATATGTATTTGGGAGAGCTAGAAAAATATACTGATATTCAGACGCAGGGGGGCTGGAATCATAAACTGTTTAAGTATAATACGATTTGAATTTGGGCATAATCTAGGATAAAGAGCCTTTGAAGGTTTTTGAATAAAGGAGAGACATGACCCAAAATACAATTTTTGAATTGCAGCTTGATATGTAGTAGGAAGACCTGTGCAGGGCTTTTATGGTAGCTCAGGTTGGAAGTAGCAAAGACCTGAACTAGAATGGTGAACATAGGGATGGGAATGATGAGACAGATGAAAAGACAAAGGAAATATGGAATCTATTTAGAGATGGGGCTGGGGATGGTACCTGTGATTTCACTGGGGTAGGAAGCTCTCTCAGCCATGCAGGCAGAACCCAGGCCTTCCTTACTCCGAGGCCAGCTCTCTGTCCACTTGGCCGTGCTACCTTAGTAGAATCTATTGGACTTGGTGATGATGAGTGGCAAGGAAAAAGGAGGAAGCAAAGATGCCTGGGGAGTCTGTCCTCAGGCGAATAGCTGTGTGACCCTTGGGGAGGTCACTTCACCTCTGCCTCAGTTTCTTCATCTGTAAAAACATGGGAAGAATTCTAGCACCTTCCTCCCAGGGTTGTTGTGAGCATCAGATGAGATAATAATGGTAAAGCACTATTTTTCATTTTCTTTCATTCTTTTTCCTTATTTGACTCTTCTTGTACAAAATAACTAATATGGAAATTTTTGCATGACTGCACGTGTGTAACTTCTATCTGATTGCTTACCATCTGAAGGAGAGGGGAAAGGAGGAAGGGAGGGATAGAATTTGGAACTCAGACTTTAAACTTATTTTAAAAATGTTTAAACATTGTTTTAACATGTAATTAGAGGAAATTATACATTTATATAATGTACTAATATATAATATTAATATAGTATGTATATAATTGTAAAGCACTTCGCACAGTGCCTGGCACATAATAAGTGCCATATACATGTTAGCTACTATTCTTATCATTAGCCTGGGAGATTGCTATCATCACAAATAGGGAAGTGTGGGGAATATGGAAATGTCGGAACCTTAATCATAACATCTAGGTGGAGATGTATGGTTGGAAATTTGTGACCAGTGTTCAAGAAAGAATATTGGAGGAGCAGCTAGGTGGCGCAGTGGATAGAGCATCAGCCCTGAAGTCAGGAGGACCTGAGTTCAAATCCAGCCTCAGACAAGTAATACTTACTAGCTGTATGACCCTGGGCAAGTCACTTAACTCCATTGCCTAAATCCCCTCCTCCCCCCAAAAAAATGAGTCAGAGATACAGACTTAAGGGTAATTTGCATGGAAGTGGTAGTGAAGCCATGTAGCACACAACAGCATGGTATAATAGAATACTACATCTGGCGTTAGAAGACTGGAATTTGAATCCTGGCTTGGATATGCACCGGCAGTGTGACCTTGTGCTGGCCATGTAGTGTCTTTGAACCTCAGATTCCTCCTCTAAAATTAGAGAACTAGAATAGATTAATTTCTAAAGCTCCTTCTAGCTCTAAATCCTTTGGATAAAATTGCCAGTGGACAGAGTTCAGAGAGAGAAAAGCAAGGTCAGGATCTTAGGGAATGTTCCCAATGAATGAAGGCTCAAGGGGGAAAAAATGCATGAGTTTGATGTGGCAGGAGTCTAAACCCTGTAAAGACTCTACTTTAGAAAGGAAAATCAGAAGTAACTGGGAAGGGGGGATTAAGAGGTGATTATGGTGCTCCTTCTAACAAATGGACCAAGTAACAAACAAAAGTGTGTATGCAAACTGTGACTTTGGGTTTCCTCTCCTAGGCTTTTCCTCCCCATGTGTCTTCCTTGCTGCTGTGTCGGGCGCCAACGGCAGCCTGCTCTGGGAAAAGCCTGTTGCTCAGGACGTTGCCAGCATGGAATGTTTTGATCACCAGACGACAAAGGGGCCACCCCCACCCTCAGGCTGCTTTATTGTGGGGAAATATAATTCTTTCCTTGCAGTTGATTCTTCCATAGGTAGGAGAAACAGGTGGAACATATTTATATTTTCTCTCCCAAATTGTCATGGTCTTTTAGGGGAAGTATGGGGATGACATGGGAGGATTGCATCCAATGGAGTCAAAATCTGACAGTTCAATTAACTGTTCATTAGGTACCTACTCTGTTGGGCATCTTCCAGACCAGGGCTTCCTAAACTTTTTCCACTCACCACCCCGTTTTCACGTTTAGGCAACATTCCTCGGTGTTGCATGGCCTGAGGGCATGCATAGTGCACAGTGTACATGCTTTGTGTTCAGAACCAAAGGTGCAGTAAAGCTGTTCCATGCAGCATGGGTAAGCACTGCCAGACACGCCTCAGATTCATTACGTACTTGATTTTTAATTAATTTTTGGTCATTGTGTGTTCAGAAACCATTTACTGTTGCTAAATTTTTCACAATCCCATGCAACCCCTCACGGGGTAGCGACTTACAGTTTAAGAAGTGCTGATCTAGACATCAGAGGGGAGAAAAAGACAAAAAATGGCAACATTTTCATTTTCAAAGATTTTATAATGTTGTAGATTTTTAATTAAATCTCAAGAAAGGAATCAGTACCCTCTTAAAAGAATCATGCTATGACTTCATTTATTCAACCTAATTTAAGATGTTGTGTGCCAAGAATATATATTCTTTTTAGGATCTAAACCCAGGTGCAAAAGAGTTATGGTCCTCCCTGGCTGGGTCACCCTTGGTTTGTGAAGGAGAAACCATTGTCACTGTGGGTGTTTTGTTTCTTTTTCATGATCACCTCAAATTGATCCTACCCATCCTATAGGGTTGAGCTCTTCAGCAGAGACATTTTTTGGGTTGCCTTAGTACTTGGTTGTACCTATTACTAAAATAAATTGTAGATAGTCCCCAGGAAGTCTCAGGTTTGGTAGAAATAGGAAGGAGAAAAAGGGTAGCAGGACCAGCTCTTCTCTCACATGCATGCCCTTGTGTACTTCTTTATACAGCTTGGCCATTGAGCATGTTTAGTAGGCATACTATAGGCCACTGATCCCTATACTGAAATTTGGCTGTGTGAGCCCCCTTCTCAAATTATGGATGGATAAAGGAAAGGAAGTTAACTTTGTACCTCTAAAATATGGCATAAGAATAGCTTGTCGGCAAGTATGAGGTAAGTAAGAATGGTTTGGAATCGACTGTTTAAAACAAGTTGATAAAATAGATATTGGAGAGCATTTATCGTTCTGATTTTAGGAAGTCAGCTAAATAAACCTAAAGATGAGACTGCAGACTCCTTGGCCTTTAGGATAGAGGTAGATGAGCATGTTTTCAGGCTCCAAAATACTCTGTGTGTGACTAGCTGATTCAGAACTTCCATGTTAATTGTAGCTTACAGAATATGAAAGAGAAGAAAAGAGCAAGTAGAAATGATTTCAGGGAATGAAGAAATTTTATGGGGTGGGAAAAGAAAATTTGTGTGGGTAAAGAGATTTAGGATTTGAACAAGAGTTTTTATATCAAGGTTTTTGTCCTAAGAAATTCAGGAGATTCAAATGGTTTAATACCAATAGCTAGCTTTTTGTCTGCAAAACACCAGGAATAATAGTTATAGCTCACACTTAAATAACTCTTTATAGTTTGCAAAGTGCTTTCTCCATCACTCTATAAAGGGTAAGTACTGTATGTTTCCCTGTTTATCTGATGAGTGTGCACTGAAACTCCAGTCAGTCAGTAAACATTTGAGGGCCTACTATGTGCTAGGTCCTATGCTAAGCTCTGGGTTTACAAAGAAAAGCTACAAACAATTCCTGTCCTCAAGGAGCTTACAATCTAACAGGGGGGAGACAGCACATTAAAAAGAATCTAAAAAATGGCAGGAATGGGGGAGGTGGGATCAGAGAAAGAAAGGGTACTGAGGCAGGGACAGGATGAAGTACTACAACCTGGTGGGAGATTACGAAATGAGTGTCCTGGGCCCTGTCCTTAAACGGAGGGTCTGGAAGGAGCTCTCTGATACCCACCTTCCACCCTCTCCAGTCAGCCACTACTCTCCTGCTTCTCCCCTGCCTATCTGAACGCTCCTTCTCAGCCTCCTCTGCTGGACTTTCATCTAGATCATGCCCTAGGTCAACTCTGGGTGTCCCACAGGGCTCTGCCATGTCTATCCTGATGATTCTCAAATTTGCTTATCCAGCCTTAACTTCTTTGCTGACCGCCATTCCTGTATCTAGAAATGGATGTCCTGTGATATCTTGTACTGCTGTCCAAAACAGAACTGGTTCTCTTTCCCTACAAAAGCTCCCAAGCGAGAAACCAAGGTGTCCTCCTCAGCTCCTCACCCTTCGCTCTAGTCTATTCCTGGGTGCTTGGTGTTGTCTCTCCATAACCTCCCTCCTAGACTGTCACGAGAGGCTTCCGGTTGGGCTTCCTTGTTTCAGGTCTGTCTCTGCTGCAGTCCATCCTCCATTTAGCTGTCACATTGGTCTTCCTGAAGTAGAGGTCTATTTTGTGTGTGCACATGCGCGTGTGTGCACACACACACTCTAGTGGCTCCTTGCCACTTCTAGGACCAAATATAAAGTCTCATTTGGCATTCTGCCTAGCCCCCTCCCACCTTTGCGGTCTTCTTACATCTGGCTCGCTTGCATGTTCTTCTGTGAGTCAATGACACTGTCCTCCTTGCTGTTCCTCACTCACACACAGCACTCCTTTTCCCAGCTTTCCAAGCCTTGTGACTGGTTGTCCTCCATGCCCACAGATGTCCCTCCTCTTCTCTGCCTTCTGGCTTTTCCTGACCTCCTTCATGTCCCAGCTGAAATCTAGCTTCTTCAAGAAGCCTTTCCTGGCCCCCTTAGTTCTGGTGCTTCTTCTGTTTCTAGCTTGTTGGTAAGTAGTAGTTTGCGTGTTGTTTCCCCTAAATGACTGGTAGTTCCTTAAGAGCAAGGCCTGTCTCTTGCTTTTCTTCATACCCCAGCTCCAGCACAATGCCTGGCACAGAGTAGGTGCTTAAGAAATGCTTAACTGACTCTTGTGAGTTTCAGATGAGAATTAATGTTTGGAAAGCCCTTTTGAATATGAAATACTATACAAATGTAAGGCATCATTTGTTACTGAAATTGGGACCAGCAAGTCCTGAAATTCAGTTTAACAGGCATTTACTAGCACTGTGAAATCTCTACTAAGAAATCTTAGGGTCTCTTAGAATATTGATTTTTTGAAGAAAGAGTTGATTTTTTGAAGAAAGAGTTGATTTTTAAAGCCATTGCTCACCATTAATACATATTTTTTTCTCTCAAGGGGAAATACTGTGGAAACTGCCTTTGAGCTTTGGAGTTAATACCTCAGTACTGAGCCCGTTCCTGAATATACCTGATGTGACTGACGATGAGGTTCAAGACTTGCTACTCTTCGTCAGATCGGGGAGAGAGGTACAAATTTTTCTTTTGTACTTTTTGGTGGAAGAGAAGGAATCCTCTTCCAAGCAGTGAGATATTTTTTCTGCAATGGAAAGCATTATTGCCATGTTGTGGCAATGTGGTTCCTCTGTCCCCCTCCCTTTGACTGCTTCCCTTTCCAGATATAATTGTTTCTTACTACTCCATCAGTAAACTAAGTCCTGATTCCTCTGAGCTTGGAACCCACAGGCCTGCAGTTCTAGAGTAAATTGACAGTAGAATAATAATGTAGCTGGCATTCATATAGTGCTTGGTATGTGCTAGGCACTGTGCTAAGCACTTTACAAATATTATTTCTATACTATTTCTGTGGCCTTTAGTCAAAATCAGCTGGAAATTCCTGGGTTTATCTTTATTCGTCCACACACACCCTCCTTTATTTTCTCCTTTGTGTTTGTCTTCCACTTTCTTTTGTGTTCTTTTAGTTACAGATTCTTGAGTTAAGGCTCAGGGTCCTGCTCATAGACAGCAGGGAGGGGGGAGGTCATCTGGCTCTGCAGGGGGTAAAGACAGATAGTCTTTTTTTCTTTTTTCTTTCAAATTTTGCAGGATAACTGCCTCTGAAATGTGCCCCTTCCTTTGCTGAAGCATTTACACAGCTACCAGGGTGACTGATTTCAAGGTTTTATTTTTTTAGCCTAATTCCATTTCTGTTTCAGGCCTTTAAGGGAAATCTTTATGAGGTGGAACTCTTAAGTAAGAAAGATTTTCCAAACCTGCAGTTTTTTCACAATGCTAAGTGCTGACGTTGGATTTGAACTTGGGTCTTCCTGACTCCAGATCCGGTGCGCTATCCACTGTTCCACCTAACTTTTCAGTGGCACGAGAATAATTGCACTATCCTGATACTTTTTTGGGGGTGGGGTGGGGATTCTTTTGTTTTCCAGATTAAAAGTTACCTCTATTCAAGCAGTACTGGTGAGCAAGTTGGTTCCGTGAGCCGCCTAAATCTAGAAGGAGAAGTTGGTTATATCATGCATGTCACAAACACTGGAGCCTACTACGTTATTTTTCATTCTGGTATTTTTATTTCTTTGTACTAGACCTCTCTTTAAAAAATTTTTATTTGGTTAACAAGCATTTATGTTCTCTCCCCTCCTCCCCCATTGAGAAAAAGAAAAAGAAATCTCTTGTAGGAAATATGCATAGTTGAACAAAACAGATTCCCACATTGGCTCTGTAAAAATGAATGTCTTACTCTGCACATTAAATCTAACACTTCTCCATCAGGAGGATGGTAGGATGTTTCATCCCGGTCCTCTGGTTGGTTAGTTGTTGTATTGATCAGAGTTTCCCTCTTCCTCTTTATAAAGAAGAGGATGGTAAGAAAAGGCATGTTCTCAGTGCCAGAGGTTTAGGTTTGTTACATTCTGCTTTTGCTCCCTGGTACTCTCTTATCTTCCTCTTGTTCAGAGCCCAGTCACAGGTTCTTCTCTTTCTTTCCTTTTAAAACTCTGTGCTCTAAATTTGGAGATACGCTTCTTTAGTTAGTTTGTTTAGCTTAGAACTTATCCTTCCCTTAATCTGTCCTCTTTTTTACCTTCCCTTTCCTGTCTTCCCTTTCCTTCCTCTTCCATGTTGAGTGACATGTATTTCTATAACCAACTCTATATGTGTTTTCTTCCCTCCTCTGACCAGTTTAGATGAAAATGAGGCTTGAGTATCACTGGCTTCCCTCACCCTTTCCTCTTCATTTGTGTGGTATTTTACTTGTGTACCCAAATTACGTCTGTTAATTTTCCTCAGCTTTCTCCCCTTTTCCCCTTCAGTGTTTTCCTTTTTCCTTCTCTTTCCTTTCTTATTTCAAGATCATCAAAACATTAAAGAAACATTCTGAGGCTCTCGTCTTGTTAAACTTTCTCTATATAATCCTTGATGACAATAAGGTTTTGAGGAAACCCTTATCTATCTTCTCTTATTAAAATGTTATCAGTTCATCCTCATTTAGTCCTTTATTGATTGTTCATTTTACCCTTTTATGTTTCTCTTGACTCCTGTGTGTATTTCAGAATTTCTACACAGCTCTGATCTTTTCATCAGGAATGCTTAATTTCATTAATGGTCTATTTTTTCCCCTGTATGATTATACTCAGTTATGTTGAGTAAATTATTTTTGGTTATAAGCCTAGGTCCTTTGCCTTCTGGAATATTCCAATCTCTGCTACTTCATAGAGGGGCTGCTGATTGTGTGTGATCCTGACTGTTGGCGCCTTGGTACAATACCTGAATCCTGTCTTTCAGGCTGTTTGCAGTATTTTTTCTTTGACCAGGAAGCTCTAGATTTTGATGTTCCTGAGAGTTTTCATTTTTGTGTTTCTCTGAGGGAGGTGAACAGAGGATTCTCACTAGTCTTACTTTGCTCTCTGGTTCTAAGTGATTTTCTTTTGTGATTTTTTTTTTAAATATGATATGTAGTCATTTTTTGGTCATGGCTTTTAAGCCATGTGGTTCTTAAATTGCTTCTCCTTGTTCTGTTTTCCAGGTAAGTTTCTGATATGAGATACCTTATACCTTATGCCTTCTATTCTTTTCAGTCTTTTGGCCTTGTTTTAATATTTCTTTTTGTTTTATGGAGTCATTTACTTCTGTTTGGTCCATTCTAATTTTCAAGAAGTCTCTTGTTTGGGTGAGGGTTTATACTTCTTTTGCCAGACTGTTGACTATCTTTACAATTCTTCTATAGCTATCATTTCTTTTCCAATTTTTCTCTCTGCTACTCTTATTTCTTTTCTAGTTGTTTCCTCTAGTGTTCTTATTGTATTTATAAAATCATATTTAGGTCTTTTCAAACTCTTGCTTCATCTCCTCAGGAATTCTAACTAACCTTGTATCCAGGCTGTGTTTTTCTTTGAGGCTTGCTTGTAGATGTTTTGGGGTCACTCTCTTCTGGATTTGTATCTTGAGCACCCCTGTCACCATGATAGTTCATTGTATTATGATGAGGTTCCTTTTTTGTTTGCTTATTCTTCAGTCTCACTTTGGACTTGGCCTTAGGCCAGGCTCTTTGTGCTTCTGAAGGGAATGTCTGGGCTGTCTTTGATCCTGCTTTGTGCCTGTTTGGTCCTACAACTTCTGCTTTCTTAGGTATGTTATTCCAGGATCTCAATAATAGCTTAGGCTAGGGACTTTCTAACTTTTTTTTGTAAGAATATTATCTTTTCTTTATTGAAAATGTGTTGACAAGTAAAAACACCATGGTTGATTATCCTTTAAATACTCTATATCTTTCTGTTTCTTGAACTCTTCAACTACTGGGACCTCCACCTCTGTTCTGCTTTAGCCAGCAACCAGGGTAGTCACAGCTTCGACCTCCCTATCTTTCAAAGATATTCCATTAGCAAATCCCCAATGCTGGAATTCCTCCCTCTAAACATAATCTCCTCTCGTTCTTCCTCTCCCTCTTTTATTTTTCCCAGGCTTGTTTTCACCCTCAACATGACCTTCAGTCTCTTGGTGACTCTCTTTTTCCATTTGGCCCAGGTCCAATCTCACTTTCTTCTCTACATAGTCTTGACCCAGCTATTTCAAGAGTGCTCTCTCCTGTACCCTTCAGTCCCTTTCGCCATTGACCTCCCATTGTTCCCACCCTGCTGATCTTCAGTTCTAAATAACCCCTATATAAATAACCCTTCTCTGACCATAATCTTATCCTGACAAATCTACTAAAGAAAACTGTGAAACCATCGTGTCACTCCTTCAGATTCCTAACATCTCAGGATCACACAAGTGCCTCTGGAAGAGACCTCAGCAGTCACTGAGAATGAAGGAGGTGAAGTGACTTGTCCGGTGTTGCAGTAAGTCCAGCACCGTATCTTTTTGTTCGACGTCAGCAGGATCTCTCATCCATCAATTCAGTTCAGCAGACATTTATTATGTCCTATGTTCAAGGCTCTGCAATGGCTTCTGAAGATTCAGACTCTCATATAGCCACTCTCAGCTAGACCTCCCCACTCTCCATGCTTCTGTCCTTCTTTATCTCCACCTCTTGGGATCTTTAGTTTCCTTTGAAGCCCAGGGACTTTCTAACTTTGAATGCTCCCGAAATGGTCTGTTGTAGAGTAAGTCTGAATGCTTGGCCTCTTGGCCTAAGTTCTGCAAGTTCTTACATTGGCTTAGGTATGACCATTCAGCTGTGTGCCTGCCCTTGGTTGGAGTTCCCTGCTAGACTGTACCATCAACCAACTGGAAAACTCTGTGCATTCAGAGTGACAGAACTGCACACTCCCCTTTGGTTTGGGTTTACTATCCTCATTATTCCACTGCAGGCTTCAGACTGGACTGAGGGCTACATCTAAGATCCTGCTCCTGTCCTGGGACCAGAGCCACTCAGCTGCTGCTTGCTTTTTGTACTTGCTGCACACTCAGTGCACAGCCTACGCCCTACAACTGCTTATCCTAGAATGCCACCCCTGGATAGAGGTTCCTTCCTCAGTCTGCCCTGGATCCTAGTTCTCTTCCTTCTTGCCCTGGTGCACAGTCACATGTGGCCTTCTTCCAGGGTCTAGCCTGTAATGCTCCTTGGCCATTCCTGGCTATCCCCCATCCCAGAGTCTGCAGACCTCTCTGCCTATTTCCCAATGATAACCTGGGCTGGAAAAATGACTCAGAATTATTTTTGTTTTTAAGTTTTTTCTGGATTTCCCATTCAGTTGTGGGGGAGAGCTCAGCCATACTACTTCTTCCTACTCTTCCATCTTTGATGGTCTTCTGACAATTTCTCGAAAAGATCCCCTGGATTCTTCTGATGCAAATTCTATACAAATTCTTTAAAGACTCTTGGAGGGATAATAAGAAATAATAATAATAATAATAATAATAGCTCCTATTAATCCAAAACACTTTTCTTGCAATAGCCCATCAAAATGGGTTACTCTTCCCATTTTATAGAGAAAGAAATTGACTTGGAAGAAAAAATGAATTGCTCATAATCACACTTCTAGTAGGTATAAAAGCCCTGACTCCAACCCAGGCCTTTTGACTGCTAAGTCCACTGTTCCATGTTGCCTAGAATGCATGTTGTGCTTCCCAATCCAAAGACCCTTAAGAGTTTGGTACATGAGCTTTGGTAGAAGATTGGCATCCGTTAGCCCTGGATCTTGTGGGCCACTGCCTAGACCCAGACCTTTGATTCATTTTTGTCTTATGCAGCATCTTCCCTCTATGGATATTCTCTGAAGGATCTTTATGAGCAAATGACTGGAGGAAAGAACAAGTTTGAGGAAGATCCTTACTGGAAGATAATGATTGACAATGCTACCCACAGAGTGCCTCCTTCTCTCAGGTTCATTTTGTATAGTCACATTTTCTTGCACTTCCATAGTATGGTTGATATTCCTCTGTGGAGGAGGGGAACTCCCTGCTGAAAAAAGTAATTGACTCATATAGATGTTTTTAAAATAAATTACTGCTGGTAGCTTTTATTTTATTTCACAATATATTTTTCCCCTCATATTCCCAAATAGCCGTCCATTATGACTGGTTTAAAAAAAAAAAAAGGAAAAACCAGTTCAGTAAAACTAACTTGCATATCGAAAAAGTCTGACGTTATAATAAAGTGTTTCATACCCCAGATCTCTTCCTTTCCAAAGAAAGAAAGTGCCTCCTCATGTGAGGGTCAAGCTTGGGCATTACAATTCTGTAACGTGTAATTTTGATTGTTTTGTTGTTTTTTCTCTTTTCCTACCAGTTCACATAAGTCTTTTAGAGTCATGTTTATTTTTTCTTACATCATAATCATATTCCATTACATCAGGGGTTCTTAACCTGGGGATCCACAAATTTGGCCTTTTTAATACTTTGATAAGTATATATTTCGATTTGATTTCCCTTGAAATCCTTTGTAGCTTATCTTATTCATTTAAAAACGTGATTCTGAGCCATTGTCCATAGACTTCATTAGAGTGCCAGAAGTGTAGGGTCCATGACCCCAGAAAGATTAAGAAGTCCTACTTTATGGTATCTTCATGTACCGTGGAGGGTTTAGCCATTCCCCAGTTGATGGGATCCCCTTTGCTTTCATTTCTTTGTTAGCACAAAAAGTGCTTCTGTATTTTGGTGTATATGGAGGCCTATGTAAAAGCCTATGTAAAAGACCACAGAGAAGACTAAAAGGGTTAAGGAGTTTAAAGAGAAGAGGCTTGGTATTACGTGTCATAGTCAAGGCTTAAGGAAGGAAGAACAAACAAAAGCAGAGATAAAAGTCAGAAGAGAAAAATAAAGAATTGACCATTTAGCAAATACTAAGTGCCTGCTGTATGCAGTGCTAGGCACAAAGGGAAATAGAAAAGATGTGTTCCCAGTGATCAAGAACTTAAGAGTCTCATGGCTGTGCTAAGGCGTGGTCACACATACATCTAATAGGAATAAGAGGAGTATAAAATGCTATGAAATTGGGTGCAAGATCACACCCAGCTGGGGAGGAGACAGAGGGCATTATAGACATTGGAAAAAGGGTGAGCAAAAGGCACTGAAGGAAGAGAGTATAGAATGAGAAGTGCAGTGGTGTGGACGGGAGAATGGAGAGAAGCCCAAGAGTTGGAGTCAGTGGGAAGAACCTCCCATACCAGCATTCAGAGCTTGCTGAGCCTGGAAAGGTCTGGGATAGTGGAGTTATGTGATCAGATCCTGTGCCTAGTCTTAATAAATGCTTGTTGATTGAAAAACAGTAGTTGAAGAGGGAAAGGATTATAGAGAAGAATAGTGAAGGGATAAGTCCCTTGTTTTCCATATAAAATTAAGTCCTTTTTCTTTTCCAAATTGAGCAAAATGAATTGGCAAGGCAGTATTTGCAGGTCAGGAAACTGGAGCCCAGCAAAGTTGGGTGAACTTCCCCAGGGTCACAGAGGTAATTGGGATAGGTTTCGTAATCTAGGTCATCCTCCTCTTGATTCCACATCCAGCACTTTTTCTCCTGTATCACACTAATAAGAAATAGTTACCAGAGATTTGAAAAACAGTCTCATGCAACCCTTTATTCATTGTCTGGAATCATTCTATAAGGTGTTAATCTTGTCTCAGAAGAATTTCAAATTGAGCATTATATTATCTCTTTTTGCATGCATAATTTAACCTTCTATCCCATAGAAAAGAGTTTAACCAAGAGAGAAATTAAATCCTTCAAAAATTTAAATTGAAATGAAATCTAATTTCCAACTCTATGTCAGGTATTTTAAAATATATTTATTGTCTTCTAAGTGAATGAGAAAATATCCAGAAATGACTTGTTTTGTGGAACCAAAAATACACAAATCTACCTCACTTTACAGAATAGATGTGCTTGTGAGAAAAAGTTCACTATGCCCATTTACCTATACTCTGATTATAAAAATTAGAAATATTTTCCCATTGGATGAGGAAAGCTCTTTACCCATAGTGAATCCCATACATAGCAATGTAATGATTTTTTTTTTTTAAAGAGGACAGTTTAATAATTCTTTGGGCCTTTGACCCAGAAATACCACTACTAGGTCTGTTTCCAAAGATGATTAGGGAAAAAGGAAAAGAACCTATATGTTCTAAAGTATTTATAACAGCTCTCTTTGTGAGGGCAAAGAACTGGAAATTTCAGGGATGCTTGTTCACTGGGGAATGGCTGAACAAGTTATGGTATATGATCGTGATGGAGTACTACTGTGTTATAAGAAATGATGAGCTTAATGAGCTTAGAAAAACATCAATAGACTTGCAGGAAATAATGAAGAGTGAAGTGAGTAGAACCAAGAGAATGTTGTATATAGTAACAGCAGTATTGTTTTAGGAACAACTTTGAGTGACGTAAGTAATTTTGACTAAATACCCAGATTTGACTATTTGAATAAATACCTGAGTTAACTACAAAGGGCCTATGAAGGAAGACACTATCTACATCCAGAGAAAGAACCAATAAATGGGGGGGGGGGTATATTTGTATTTGTGTCTAATGGTGGCCAAGTGACCATCTCAAAGGGGAAGGGAGCAAAAAAGGGGGGGAAAAGTTACATGATCGTTTTATTATATATATAAAAGGAATAGCAAGTTGTGCACAATAGATTTGTAGGTTCTTGTGCAATCATCTTTTTTTCTATTCTAGTTTCTTATGGAAATGCTTGTTTTATTTATTAAGTTCAGAATAAAATAAATTTGAAAAAAAAGAGGACTGTGTTCCAAATGTTTTAGAAGAGGAATAACTGAAATAAGGAGGTAACTATATGATTAGAGATAATATAGACAATCACCTCCAGAGGTGGGGAGCAAACATGGAAAAGCCAGCTTTCTACTTGTCTCTGGTTGGCCAGTCCCTCTCACACCAGAAAGAGCACCCTGGCCTTTCATAATTCAGTTTTGTCAGAATTGGAAACGTTTTGATCTAGTTATAGAATTAATGTGTTTTTCCTCCCAAGAAACCTTCACTCTATTGTCTTATTGGGCCTTTCCTCTGCATTTATACTTAGCTTGGGAACGATCCGTTACCTGATGAAAGTACCTGGGAGTACAGGGGAAGACATACTCCTTGTGAAATCAGATGCATGTGAGCTGCTTGATGGGCAGACGCTTATTTCGAAGTGGACCCTCAACGCATCTGAAGTTGTGAGGTATCGTTGGCCTCTGAAGCAGGGGACTGGTATTCTGTCTGTGAGATAGTTCAAAAAAAGCAGGAACACCTTCTCATGCCAGGGCAGCAGGGTGGTGCAGTGGGTAGTGCTAGACTTGGAGACAGGGAGACCCAAGTTCAAATCTAGTCTCAGATGCTTACTAGCTGGGCGACACTGGGCAGGCCACTTGACCTCTGTTTGCCTCCGTTTCCTCAGCTGTAAAATGGTGATGATGGTGATAATGGAGTAATGGCACCTTCCTCCTAGGGTTGTTGCAAGAATCAAATGAGGTAATTTTAAAGCTCAGCTCAGTGCCCAGCGCATAGTAAGCACTTAGTAATATGCTTATTTCCTTCCTTCCTGGAGAGAGGGGCAGCTTAGATTATTAAGGGGAGGACACCTTGTACAATAACACATCATCTTTTGTTTGCTCAGCACTTTTTTTTACAAACAGCCCTATTGTAAGGTGGTATTCCATTTTATAGTTAAGAAATGAGACTTGTTAGATGCTAGGTCACAGGTCACCCAGCTAGGAAGTGGTAGTGCTGGGATCTTCTAAACCACTGCCTCTTCTTCCATTGGACTGTGCTGTGCACAGTGGGGAAGGAAGAGCTGCGGCCATTCAATCTGCCGCTGCCGCAGGGATTCTGTTTGCTTAGGAATGACGAAGAGCTTTGTACTGCCTCTTTACAGGGAAAGCTCTGACTTTCGTTGAATTTATTTTAAATTGTCTGTGGACAGTATAGGCTGGCGTGAGAATCATCTGCTATGTTTGTTTCTGGAATGTTAGTTACTCCCGTTACTTTCTGTAGGAGTCTCCGTTTTGATCTCCCTCCTCTTATCCTTCCAGAAAACCAGTCCTTGGCTACTACAAACCAGATGCAGTTGCTATAGTCCTTGAAAATGGAACCGGTATCCAAAGAAAGGTTTGAACGAACTCCTTTACTCAGTCCTGTCTTTCTCTGAAGCTTGAGGCAGATAAGTCTGGGCAGCCAGAGTGAGCTGGGACCCAGTATATTCCTTGGATAAGGAATAAGAGACCTGCTTCTGGGGTAAGAGGGACCTGGTGATGAAGGGAGGAGGGTGCCAAGCAGAAAGGGCAAAAAGAAGGCCCCCCAGGGTCAGGGAAGGTAGGATTTGTGGTGCCTTGCCTCTTGGGGTGAGCATGAAGGTGGGCAGAGAGGCAGCCACCTCTGTTAGCAGTACTTTCCTGCGGGTGGCTCAGTGTGCCTCAGCAACTCTTGCTGCTGCCAGATCAGCATCTGCACATCCACGAAGGTCAGGTGGTGTGGGGGTTCCTCTACCTTCCATGCTGCCAAGTTGGAGAAACCAGAGGACTAAGTGACAGAGATGTCCTTGGATGGCAGGTGCCATATGGTCTCTCTTTACAAATGCAGAGAATAAAACGATATTTACTAGCAAGGTGTGTCCATTTTAATGAGGGAAATAAATACATGCTTTGTAGCTGTGTGGCCCTAGGCAAGTCATTTAACCCTGTTTGCCTCAGTTTCCTCATCTGTAAAATGAGCTGGAGAAGGAAATGGCAAACCACTCCAGTACAGTCTGTCACAAATGAAAACAACTAAACAAGACAAATAGAAGTGTAGTGATGTGTGAATTGAATCTGTGTTCTTAGAGTATAGGGTGCTTTCTCTGCCATTACAGATGGTGGAACTTCTCTGAAACTTACCATCTTAGAGAGGTGGCCAGAGAGGGTCACCTGGGCATCACGTATCAAAGGTGGGATTCAACCCACCTCAGCTCTGAAGTATTCTGGACTCATAGTTGTACTTTATCCACTGCAGCACACTGCCTCAGTGCATGTATATAAATATGTATGGAATAAATACTAAGCCATTAAATACAGGGTTGTTTGGAAGGGAGGCCACTAGAAGTTAGGGGGAATCAGGAAAGGCTTTGTTTAGAGGGTGGTTTTTCAGACCCATCTTGAAGGAAGAACATGGCTGTCTGAGTGATGGAGGGCATCAGGTGAGCCTGAGCATGGAGACGGGAGACATCAATGGCATGGGAAGGGAGCACAAGAAGACAGACTGGCTGCATCAGAGAGAGCAGGAGAAGCAATGGTGTGCAGTAGGTGGAAGCCAAGGAGGGAAGGGCCTTTCGAGCTAAACAGACGACTTTGTGTCAGCTTCCCCCTGGAATTTATTGAGTCAGGTCGTATATATCATTTTGGTAGTAGCATGTAAAGTAGACTCGAGCAGAGACATTTGAATTGGGCAGACCAGCTAGGAAGCTGTTATAATCATCTAGGTAAGACGCCTTAAAGAAGGTGGTATTGTGTAAGTAAGGGAAGGACTGCATGCAGAGGGCTGGTGTGGAGGTAGAAAAGGTAAGGCAGCTGATGAGATGTGTCAAAAGACCGAGAGTGAGGAATCATGGGTAACGTCAAGGTTATGGACCTGAGAGAGCAGAGGAATTGTGGTACCTTCCATAGAAATGGGGAAGGAGAACATTCCAGGGAGGAAGACAGTCCTTGCAGAGGCCCAGGTTGGGAGAGGAGCATTCTCTGGGAATGACCACAAGGGAACTGCTGTTATGAGTCACAGAGTATGTGGAGGGGGGAGTGAGGTCCCAGTGCCTGGGACAGGCTGGTTGTGAAAGGCTTTAAAAGCCAAACCGAAGATTGATATTTTATCCTGGAGTACTAGGGAGCCACTGGAGTTTTTGGAATAGGGAGGTGACTAATAATAAGTAGCATTTACATAGTGCTTTAAGATGAGGCTCACAACGACTTTGGGTTGGTAGTTTGCTATTTTTATCCTCATTTTACTGTTGAGAAATCAAGAGGCAGGCAAAGGTTAAGTGATTTGCCCAGGGTCACACAGCTGGGACATATTTGAGATGGGATTTAAACTCTGGTCTTCCTGAGCCCAGGTCCAGGTCAGTTGTGGCCCTATTGACTCTAACATGTCCAGTAGGCCATTGATGACGCAGGGCTGAAGCTGAGGATTCTTCAGAAAACCTTCAGTGGTTGCCCACCTGACCCTTCCCAGCCTGGCCTGGCCATTCAGATCACTGCTCTTTATAGTCTGCTCTGTAAACATAACCTTTGCTTTGCCGTGCCCAGCCTCTGCTCCGAGAAAGCTCTAGGAAGCTTTCCTTTCCTCTCTCCCCTTTGTTCCCAGCTCTCTAATTTACTGCCTTACTGAAAGACATCCCAGAGCAGCAGACAGAAAAACTGGCCTCAGAACCCGGAGAACCTCTGTTCAGGTCCCACCTCCGACACTGACGAGACTGTGTGACCTGGGGAAATCACTGAACCTCTCAGTGCTCCTCTGGGCAGCTCTTAGACTAAGCTGTAGAGAAGGCCCTGACCTGTATGGGTGGAGGGAATTTCTTTCACCTGGGAATCCCATCTACCTTACATGAAATCACAGGTTCACTCCTTGTTCCCCAGGATTCACTTAAAATGTTATTTTGTATTATTGGTGAACATGTCATATCCTATTTCTCTGTGTTAAACCCCACAGGGGCTGGAGGCCATATCTTAACTTATGCAGGCAGCTAGCTGAGTGGCACAGGGGATAAAGCACTAGAGTCATAGAGGCTTGTGTTCAAATGTAGCCTTAGATACTTCCTAGCTGTATGACCCTGGACAAGTCACTTAATCTCTTTCTGCCTTGGTTTTCTCAGCTGTAAAATGGAGATGGTGATAATAGTGCCTACTTCCCAGGGTTGTTGCATAAAATGGAGATAATAATAGCTCCTACTTCCTAGTGTTATCATCATCATTATCCAAACCTTTTCTCTTCCACAGGGCTCTACTGTCAGTAGACACTAACAGAGAGAAGGAAATGTGGTCTCTACCATGTAGGGGGTTCATAAGAAGCTCCATATGGGCTGTGCCTGGGACAGGCCAGTAAAATCCCCAGGTGGAAGTTAGTTGGCAGCTCCATCTTGAGCCCTACGAGCTGCCTCCCATTCTTTTGTATAGGCACTTTCCCCAACGTGTCTCGCTCTGCCTTCAGATCTTGATTGTGGCCGCCACTTCGGGAGCCATCCTTTGGAGCTACACCCTGAACTCATTTGCAGGGACTCCCAAGCCAGCCACCGTAAAGACAGCAGACCGACGTTCTGCCTTCTTCTTCTGGAGCAGTAATAACCAGATGGTACGAGGAGAGAGCACACCAGACCCGAGCTTTGGAGTTGGAGGAGCTGTGTTCAAGTCCCAACTCTGCCTCTTTCCTCTTCAAAATTGAAGGGTTGATGATCTTTTGGGTTCCTTCTAGCTAAATTATCTGATCTCTTTGGGGGAGGGTCCCCAAGGGCAGGGTCACAAGAGGTGTCCAGGAGTCCAGAGTGTACCAGGATGTACACCAAGCACATTAACTATCCATGGTTTTTGGTTTTTGTTCTCTGTAGGAACCTGTTGACTCACAGAAAAACCTGTATATGTTCCACCCCACTTTTCCCAATATCTTTTTGGAACTTACCAACACTACCAAAAACATTGTGGCCTTTAATGGTAAGTGGAAACCCTTACTCGAGGGACCTGGATGCACATCCCCACTTTGGTTTTAATTGGTGGCAGCCTGAGATATGGTGGGCTTTCCAGGGTGAAAACGTAGATCCTTTGGTGCAAGAGTGGGAGGGCTGGTATTCTCGTAACCCTAGGGAGACCCTTGACCCCTTGTGTCTCCTCTGCCATAGTGTTGTTTGAGCAGAGCCACCATGCCTCTTATGTGCTGCTCACTGGGCCCACAAATCAAGGATGGCCTGGCCTGGTGTCTTTGTCAAAGCAAAAAGTGAAGGAGAACGTCCTAACTGCTCAGGTGGTCTGGCTGGGAGCGGCAAGGCGTGAGAATGAACAGACCATTAAAGACCGGTTTTATGAGCTGAGATACAAGAAAGAAGCATAAACTCTTCAGCAGACGATGTCTGGTTTTTTCCCCTAGTTTTTCTTCCTCCTCCTTAAGAAACCAACTGAAGAAATTAAAGTCCAAGAAAGCTCTACTTTTCACGTGTTCTCCAAACTGACCTATGCGTAGGGCAGAAGTGCAGTTTCTTCCTCTTGTGGAGACAGAATTGGAGTCATTGGTCCCAAGTCTTTCTCCAGGTGCCTTACTCAGTCTGAGGTTTTTTACATGTTTCTTACAAATAAGGAACAGTTAGGAAAGGTAACTCAGGGGAAGCCTAACTCGTTACACCTTTGATAGCATTAATCCCACTTTCTTGGTGTGTCTTCACTCCCTTGCCCTGGGCGTGGGGTCGAGGGGTGCTTCTGTGTAAGGCAGGCCTGCACCACGTATGGCATGCCCATTGTCTGCTTGTGGCTCCCCAAAGGATTTTGGGCAGCCCTCAAAAAATGTAGGGTTGCCAATGTGCACTCTCCTCTGTGTCACATGACCCGTGCCATCACGAGTCTAACTTGAGTCTAACCCGTCTGCAGCCCCAAAAAGTTTAGCCTGTTTTAATTTTGGCTCCTACCTACTGCCAAGTTGTACAGGTCTGCTCTAAGACATAGTACAAGGACCCTGTCTGAGTTCAGACAAGTTCTGCCTCTGCCCTCGCTTGTGTTCACAGCCTTCTGAAGCTTCTCTAAAGACAGCCTTTTTAGGCCCTGCCCAGCCCTCCAGGCTAAGCATGAGGCCATTCACTTTACTGTAGGGCCAACTGAATGCATTTCTGTTGAGATTTCCTCCTTGAAGGCATATGGGGTTTGGGGCTGATGAGTCAGGCTGAGGGAGGTGGGACGCTTTCTTGGTGATTTTCCTGTCTCAAGGAACATCGCCATCTAGCCAAGCTGGCAGGAGCCCCTAAGGACCTTGAGAAAGCAAATAAGGTAACTCATGGGATGACTGAGCGATGCTGACACCTTCAGGAGATTCTGAAGCAGCTGAGAGTCTGCTGTCCCTCCTCCAGCTTTCCCTAACTTGATATGGAAACACTTCTGTTCCTGGTCAAATAGCAGCGTCTCTTTAAATAAGATCCTAATGTCTAGCTCCAGTGAATACGTGTCAGCAGAGACACTGCTGGTCTGACTGTTCCCCCTGCTTGCAGCCACTTAGACTATACTGACCTCCAGTCTGGCACTGGACTCTGGGGGAGTCCTGGTGGACTGCTGCTTTGGCTTCTCTGCCTCAGGCCCTCTTCTGCCCCCAAATCCTAATTCAGGAAGCTTTCTTTGTCTTGGTCCAGTAGAGATTTTGGCCTGTAGGAGCCCCTTGGACTCATTCCCCGGGGGCACTGGGCTTCAGAGATATTCCATGGCTATAGTTTGGGACAGATAGCACTGTTCCCAGTATAGCGGTGCATTGATGGGGGGCAAGTTGCTCACAGAATTTGGTGGTTTTAAAACTATACGCATTGGATACTTGTAGCATAAATTCCAAAACATACCCCGCTGAGGTAACACACACTTGGGAACATTTTTTACACCAGCATCTATAGGAAACAGTGGGTTTCTTGGGTGTTTTACTCTGGGCCTGTTCTCCTTTATGGAACCACAATGAACTGGACTAATCGCCTGCTAAAGTTAGAAGCATGAAGCGAAGGCCCTCCGCACTGCACTGCTGTTCAACGCCAGATGGCCGAGCCCCTCCCAGGGCCACAGCGGTGCTTCTGCAGCCTGGGACTAAAGCGTTCCCCCTGTGCTTGGTGACTTAGGGAACAAAGGACTTCCTTGGGTGCCTTGTTGATCTTAAGCCCCTCAGGGCAGGTGCAGCTTAGGACCTGCCCTAGATCGTGGAGCTTGACCTTTATAACTTAATACAAATTGATTTGAACCCTGCAGTGTCCACTAGTCTTTCTCAATAAATGTTTTTGTGTTGTTTGTAAATGCCACCAGTGTGTGGAGTGTGCTGCAAATGCAGTGGGGGCCAATAAACTGGACCTCCCTGGGAGTGTTTCGTGGTGGGACGGATGTAAAAGATATAGGCCCAGCTCACGATTTGCAATTTTAGTAGACAGGGGCGCGATAGTTCATTTGATCTGAAATCTTAACAGGACTTGTGGGTCTCTACTTCAGCTTCTAGCCCTTTAAGATGAAAGAAAGTAAATCCAGTGGAGTAGCCAGTAACGATTTACTGTCACGTGAGTGGAAAGGGCCAGCATTGGGCCAGTCATGTCTCAGCAGCTTCCTACCTCCTACAGTGAGGACTTGAGCCTTTTTTCAGATAGCACAGCTCCGCTCCCCAACCCCAGCCAGTCCAGATGGGTCTCATTATACTCCCCTCTCCTTAGAGTAATGAAGAAGGGAGTGTGAAGGCACAGAAGCCAAAAGGCTTGTGTGGGAGACCTCATGTAGTCACACCACAGGAGTGAACGACTTAGAACCAACATGTGAAAAATAGGACAGAATCAAGAGAGGGTTACTGAGGCAGTCGAAAAAGACTTACTGAGAGGAAGTCAGGAATTCAGGGCAGCTACGTGCCCCGATATTGTACATGTCTATGTACCCCTGAGCTTGCAAATGGTTTTTACTCCTGCAGCAGCATGGTGTAGGGAAAAGATCTCTGATTTCTGGCATGCCACTCCCTATTAAGCCTCAGTTATTTCCTCTGTAAAGTGGAGATAAAGTGTGATCTTGCCCAGAGAAATGGGAGGAGGATGTACCTGCAAGATTTTTTTCAAAAGAACCCGTAAGGATAGGCATGGGGAAAATAGGGACCAAGCTTTGATTACTAGGCCACAACTTTTTTGGGGGGCTAGGCAGTGGGGTTAAGTGACTTGCCCAGGAACACACAGCTAGTAAGTTGTCAAGTGTCTGAGGCCAGATTTGAACTCAGATTCTCCTGACTTCAGGGTCAGTGCTCTATCAACTGTGTCACAAGCCCCCAGGCTCACAATTCTTTTAAACTATTGGTGGGAACTCTGGGCTTTCTTGGCTTTAATTTTTGCATAAATTAAACATACAGTAAGCATCTTGCAATCTCTGAGTACATGCTGGGTAAGGAAGACGACCTATAGGGAGAGCACCGGTTAATCTCAGCCATAGAAATAGCAAGAGATGATTTTAAATAATACCACAAATAACATCCGTCTTAGCAGAAGTTTCCTCACTTTGTTCAGAGCTCTGCTTTATAATCTTCAGTGGTTTCCTATTGGATGCTGAATAAAATTCAGATATCTTTGTGCCATGCCATGCAAACTCTCCAGTGTATCTTTCTTGCCTTATCTCACACAAATCTTTTACATACTCTCTGTTCTAGAGGCAAAGTGGCCCCCTCTCAATCTCCCCCCTCCTCCCATTGCCATCCTGCCCTCTAGCTTGCGTGAATTCTGATAATCTACCTCCTGAAAATATTCTCAGGCCCGTGTTCCCCACCCCCACTCCCAACTCAAACTATTAAAATCCTCCCTTTCTTTCAAGGCCCAGCTTGGTATTGTTCCTTCTATGCAGGCTGCTGTGATCCTCCTAGTTAAAGATGATCTCCCATAAGTGTCTCAGTCCACTGACATATTATATCCCTAACAGTATTCTATCAAAGTATAGTTATTTGTATGCATGTCTTATTCCCACCTATTAGACTGAAAGCTCTTCAATTCACAGAATTCTTGACATTTACAAGAGGACTGTTTTCATCACTTCTGCATCACCTGCAAAATTGTTGAGCAGTGAAATTATCCTACCACCTGTAGTTATTTTTCCCTGATAAGAGGCCATTCCTTAGAAGTGCCCTAGCCCCATCACCCATGCCAGGCTCCAGGAATTCTTGTTACTGCCTTCAGTCCAGGTGCAGGAGGTACTAAAGGACCTTGTAGAAGGTGACCAGATGGTTCCAGCTGGTTACCTGGAAAAGCTGCCGTCTACCCCCCGGCCAAGGATGAAGAGGCCCACCTCGGCTTGACCACTGAGCTTCCCCTCTACTTCACTTGCCACATCCTTGCATCCTTTTGTTCATTCTTATGAGTTACTTTGGTTTTCTTCCTGCTGAGCTTTACCTACTTTATATCCCCCAGTATACCCAGTGCTAGAAACAGTTCTGTTTCAAGCTTTGTTATTGTGCTTTTCCCTTGACCCTGCTCTTTTAATTGTAGGGGCATGCATGGAACTCTGTATTATCTTCATGTGGAGATTTGGAGCATGGAGTCCATACAGCTTTGTGGTATTGGCCTTAGTCCGGACCAGTCAGCTCAGAGGAGAGGATATATATATATATAGTACTAACAAGGCCAAGGCTATGAACTTCAAGCTATACTCCTGGGAATACCTTTGTTGATCACAAGGGAGCTCAGGTGAAAAGGTATAGATAATAGTTAACATTTATATAATGCTTACTGTGTGCCAAGGTACCGTGCTAAGTGCTTTGCAATTGTCTCATTTAGTCCTTACAACAATTCCAGGAGATGGGTACTATTATTATCCCCATTTTGCAGATGAAGAAAGTGAGACAAACCAGTTAAGTGACTTGCCCAGGGTCACACAGTAAGCATCTGAGGTCTGATTTAAACTCAGGTTTTCCTGACTCCAAGCCCAATTCAGAACAACCCAATGTGAGACATAACTACTAACGAAGGTAAGCAGTGCTAAGGAAAATGAGATATAGTAAGAATGGCTCAGGACCAATGATGTCACTTCCAGCAAAGATGGAATAGGATAGGGATGGATGTAGGATTGCAATTGATATAGGGAACTCCAGATGAGGAGACAGCTTACTTAACCAATGCTAATCCACACCTTCTCTGCAACTTACAGTTTCATCAAGACACCAAAAGTTTTAAGTTTCTTGATGAACGTCGCACAACCATGTCTTCTTGATGCTAAAGTCGCCATTCAGCTTACTAAACCTTGCTGTCATAGAGGAGAAGGAGAATTTGGGTAGTGGATGAAGTCAGGGAAACAGGCTTATAACTCACCAAGGTTAACACAGGCTAGTTACTTCTCTGAATCTCAGATTTCTCATCTGGAAGATAGGAATAATAAAGCCTTGGGATTGTCTGAGATTCATTTGTACCATGCTTTTGCAAACTTTTTAAACAGCTATGTAAATGTGAGTTACGCAAAACTTACAGAATATTTGTCTTCCTGTCATGGCCAAATAACTTCTATCATACTCAAAGGGCATGCCGGTCTCCCTTCTAGAAGAGAAGGTAATGAATGAACCTGAAAGAATGCCTCTTCACTCCCCAGGTTATCGAGGAGGATGAAATATTCCTTTTTTTAAAAGTGGGAGCCTCCAAAACTAAAAGGGTTTGAAGAGGCAGAGAAAAGTCCTGAACTGTATCAGAAATTTGGCAAGTGGAAAAATGAGATAAAAACAAGGAAGTGGAAAGGGATCAGTAGAGTCAGTCATCAGCAGGAAGAGGTTCTAAGAAGCGGCAGTTGCTTGTCCTCTTAGGAATCATGAGGTGGTTTTATCAGACCAACGAATGACAGGAAGAAGAGACCAGTAGTGCTGGTTGATGATGTCTGCCATTGGCACTGGAGAAATCTGCTTTATTCTAAGGCTGTATATCTCTAAAACATGGAGTACCTCCCCAAAGTTGTCCAACCCAAGGACTGCACCACCCATTTCTTGTGACTTACATGGATACTAACAATACCACCAGAATTCATTGCTAAGGGCTACTGAGTCATGGCCAAGAAACTGAAGACTTGTGGGGTATGAGTGGTATTTTACATTGGTCTGTTCGTAGAAGACAAAGCCGTCAGAAGGAAAAGGTAAGTTTAGAAAGTGAACAGCTGGCAACCCAGATGGATTTGGGATTTCTGGGCCACAGGTTAAAACATAGGAATGATGGATTCTTGACCTAGTAAGACTAGTAAAAATGTATTACCTGGAGTCTTGCAAATCTGATCAACAGAAATTAGGACTAGACCAGTGATTTAATTAACATCGGTAACTTCCAGGTGAGGAAATTCCTTCTGCCAGTATAGGTCATCATCTTCTGCAGTTTATAGTTTTAGAGTTGCCTATGGACACTGAGAGGTTAAGTGAGTTCCCCAAGATAATACTGCTAGTATGCGTCAGAGACTTGAACCTGGGTCTTCCTGGCTCTGAGGCCTGCTTTATTCACTGCATCATTGGTGTCAAATAGGAATTCGGCCTATGGGCTTCGTGTTGACTTAGAAAACCACATATTGACGTTATGTACGTACTGTTGTATTTTTATTTTGTCAAATATTTCCCGATTACATTTTAATCTGGTTTGGAGGAGTGTTGGGCTGCAGGACTCTATATTTGATACTTTGCAGTACCCGGTGTTGCCCCTCTCAAAAAAGGTATAGCAAAAGAAAAAAAATATAGAAGGAGAAAACCCCCTAATTACCAATAACGGCAATAGAGATTCCCAGAAATTAATAAAGTAAAATCCAAAAAAGGAATAGAAATGAAAATCCATGGGCTCAGATACCTATGCTTTTGTATATCAGATACTTTTTGGGCAAAAGACAAGAAGGTTAGTGATAACAATACAAGGAAACAAATTTTGACCATAGGGTCATCACAGACTTGAGGGGATGAGAACCGTGACTGCCTTTGGAGAGATTCAAGAGGAACAAGGTGGGCAAAAGGGGAGGGGTTAGAGAGGGGGATAAGGAGTAGCATTGTATATTACAATATATACCTATTTTTAAAAACCCGAGGAATTTGAGGAAGAAAACATGGTGGAGAACATTTGCATAAAGATCAACAGAGACAGAAACAGAACTGATATTGTCATTGCAACATCTTTTCTGGACAGAAAGGAAAAAGCCTGGCAGAGAGGCATGGTGCAGTAGTGACAGAGGACTCCAATTATATAGACATGCACTAGTGTGCTTTCTGTGCCAAAAAGCAGAGTAGCCAACACTATCTTGGCTTTCCTTCAAAAAGCTAACAAGATACTTAACATGTCGGATGATAATATCACTATCCAAAAAGGTTCTGACATGCTAGATGGAGCCAAATCTAATTGGATAAAACTTAGAAGGAATTAATGTAAATTCTCACTTTTGGATTCAAAAAACTAACTTCATAAGTGCAAGATACAGATGGTGTGGCTAGACAAAAGTTCATCTGAAAAAAGATCGAAGGGCCTCAGTGGATGGAGCTCGACAAGTCGAGAGTATGATATAGCAGCCAAGAAAGGTAACGCAATCTTAGGCTGCACTGAGAGAAGCACAGTGTTGAGTGCGAGGGAGGTAGTAGTCCTTCTGTGTCTACCATTAGGCTACATTTGGAGTATCAGCTTCAATTCTGAATGCTACATTTTAGTGATAAGCTGGGGAGTATTCAGAAGAGGGCAACTTTTTCAGTTGTGTCCCACTCTTCGTTGACCCCATTTGGGGTTTTCTTAGCAAAAATACTGGAGTGATTTGCCATTTCCTTCTCCACCTTATTTTACAGATGAGGAAACTGAGGCAAACAGGATTAAGTGACTTGCCCAGGGTCACACAGCTAGTCAGTGTCTTGAAATCAGATTTGAACTTGGGGAGAGGAGTCTCCTTGATTCTAGGCCTGACACTCTGTCCACTGCACCACCAAGCTGTCCCACTTTGATGGTAAAAGGTCCCAAAATCATGTCGTGTGCATGAGTTGAAAGAACTGAGGGTATTTAGCTTGGAGAAGGCCTAAGGATAACTGTTTTCGAGTACCTGAAGTGCCCTCCTAAAGTGCTCTCCCAAAGTAAAATAGATTCCAGGAAGTAGCAGGCTGTCCCCTCTAACAAAGTTCACCCAACATTTGGGTAACCAGCTGTTGGACAGGTAGAGCAGAATCTTGTTCACATATGGGTATGAATTCCCTTCCAAACCCAAGGTTCATTTATATGGAGATACTTCCCTTTGGGGCAAACTGGAAATCAATGGCTTCAATCTTTTCTGATAGTGGGGAAGCAGGAAGTTTTGCCTTTTTAACTCCCAGCAAACTTGGGGTTCCTGCCCTACCCTGGAGGGTCTGGCTCAACAGACTTACTCTTCTTGCCACCTTTTGGAACTATGAGAGCCTGCCATGGGAAGGAAGAAGAAGAAGCTGCTGCTTATCCAGGAAACTGAAGTATGCTCCTGGGGGCTCATGCATGTGCACGCATGTATATGAAGGGCACCTGGAGACCTTAAGATAGGTAACAGCTGCTCCTTGATGAGCTGACCCCAAAGGGCCATAAAAACAGCTACCCACCTGCAGAGCCAGAAAGGTTCTAATGGAGTCTGTGGAAAGGCTCGTGTCAGAAGTCACCAAGCTAGGGCTGACTGGACCAGGGACCGAACTGGACTTTTAGAGTTGGAGGAGGAAACCTTAGGGAGCATTTTGTCCAAGCCTTTGGATTATCTAACTAACTTGTACAGCAGGGAAACTGAGGCCCAGAGAGTGACTTGCCTGATGTTAAGCTGCAAGTTAGCAACAGAGCTAAGACCAGCACCCTGTCCCCTTGCTCCACCTTGTGCACTGCGCCATGCTTCCTCTGCCAAAGGTGGGGGTTGGGTGGGATACCTGTGGACTGACTCAGGATTAGGGGTAAGGAGTTGGTGGGCATTATAACCTCTCCTTGGAGGACACTGGACATGGCAGGGACAAGGAGGGAGAAGGGAGCCCTCACACATCTCGGTTCATGAAATGCTTTTCTCTCTGTCCCCTTTCCCATACCTAGCACCCCAACCCCTCTCCTCTCCAATGACATCTTCCAGGCTGTCAACCAGAGGAGAGGGAGAAGTGGCCACAGAGGGAAAGGGAGGACTGTCGCCTTGCCTAGCCTTCCCCTTCCCCAGCAGAGGCAGCAGAAGCCAGGGCCTTATTCTTGTCCTCCCCCTTGGGCTCCTGTTCTGAGGGCAGGAGCAGGGCCGGGCTAGGGCTGGAGTGGCGCTGCTTCCTCATGAATGGGAACACTCTGGAGAGACACACAGAGGAAGGAAAGATGAAGGCCAGGACCCCCAAAGGGCAGTGCAAACGTGGAGGCCTACCATGGGGTATAGATTGTGTAAAGCCTTTAGCTCTACTTCTCTTCCCCAATGGGTCTGAGCAGGGGGAGAGAGGGAGTGGCAATTTGTACATACTGATTTCTGTGAGCTTCTATGGAAAAAGGATACTGAGGATGAGCTGAGAGTTTGAGACTGTTGGTTATTCTCCAGTTTTGCCCCCATTCTCTTGTCTCAATAAGAGACCTCTCCCCCAAGTTGACCCATTCCATGGAATGGGATAAGGTGAGGTTGACCTGCGTGGTAATTCCCAATTCCAGCTCTCTCACATGGTGGAGTGGTTATTGGTGTAAAAGGCCAAGGGAAAGACTGCCTCATCCCTCCTGTCCCCCCAACCTCCTCCAAATCCTTTTATTTTGGAGTTTAGGAAATAGAGTGAATAGGATGAAGGCAGGGGCAGGAAAGGGGGCGAAGCTCACCGTTTCTTAGTCTCTGGTGGAATCACAGCCTCTGCCAGGAGTGTCTTATACATGTCAGACTTTAAGAACCTGGGATAGGAATCCTGAAAGACAGGCAGGACCACCTTATTCCAATAGCATTACTTACACAGTTGTTTTGAAATTTGTGCTTTTATTTCCCAGGACCATAAAATTATCTTCCTGTAGAACAGAGAGATTGTTCAAGTAGTTTGGAATAGAATCGTGGGATTTAGAGATCTAGTCTAATCCCTTCATTTTACAGATTAGGCAACTGGGGCCCAGAGAGATTTATGGCTTGCTCAAAGTTACAGGTAGGATGTAGCAGAGAAAAGATTCAAACCCAGGCCCTCTGACTCCAAATTCGGAGTTCTTGCCACCACCCCATGCTGCCTTCTTAGTAAGCATTTAGCCCTTTATTTAAAGGTAGATTCCTCCAGAAAAGAAGAATGTCCAAGTCCACAGCTTCCTCCTCAGTTTGATAATCCCACCCCCCCATCCCCACAAGGCTGTAGGAACAGCTTGTGAGGAAAGTCCATTAATAACCCCATTACTCTGTGCTTTCCACGTCCTTGTAATTATCTGCAGGACGACTGTCAGATCTAACTCAACTCAAAAGGGCAGGTAGGTGGCCCAGGGAATAGAGTGGCAGGCCTGGAGTCAGGAAGAACTCAGTTCCAATCTGGCCTCAGACACTAGCTATGTGACGCCAGGCAAGTCACTTAACCCTGTTTGCCTCAGTTTCTTCATCTGTAGAATGAACTGGAGAAGAAAATGGTAACCCACTCCAGTACCCCTGCCAAGAAAACCTCAAATGGAGTCACAAAAAATCAGACACAACTGAAATGACTGAACAGCTATGCAGCAACTCAGCTCGGGCATCCAGTAACATCTATCCTGATTTTAGCTTGGTTTTAGTTTGGTGGTGTTCAACATTTGTGTTTCCACTTGTAAGTAGCCTTCAGCTCAAAACCTTCTTGGAAGCTGGTGGGGAATAAAGCATGAGTGAATAAATGATTGAATGCATCCATTCCAAGCCCTAGGCGTTTTTAGTTAAGGGTCTCAGCCTGTGGGCCACCTGACCTTCAAGGCATGAAGGTAAACCTTTTGCCTTTCTCTAAGACAAATGCCTGGCCTTCTAGCTTCAGACCCAGCTACCTTTCACTGCCCTAATGGAATTGATGCTTTAAGGCGGGAACCCTTTTGTTTTTCCCAACTCCACCGAACCCCTGGTCCCAGCACCTTTTTCATAAGCATGTAGATGTGCATCTGGGCATCATCCATGACATAGCGATGGGGTCTGCGGATCCCTTCAAGCGTCTTCTCCATAGTTTTGCTGTCAATATTGACCCAGCGTGTGGCCCCGGGGGCAAGAAACTGTCTGAACCCCAACAGTTAGAGAAATAGGGACAAATTAGCAGAAGGGCTTGCAGCCTGTGGCCTGCCTTTGAGATACCGTTTGCTCTTCGAGGCACTGGGAAAAAACTCGAAAATTATCTTTGGTGCTTTTCCACCCCCACCCCCAACCCACCCCCAGCAGAGTTTCTCCTTCCCCACTTTTAAGTACCTATCATGTAGCTCATTCTTGTTCCCACCTGGCTTTTAAACTAATCCTCAAATAATTTTAGGGGAGATATTATGTGTCTTAGGATTGTTTATACTTTTGGAAACAATAGAGACATGGTCCCTGTACCTTTCTATTCTCTTACTAGACACCTATGTCTTGGTATGCCCCATCCCCATTCAGCAGGCTCAGCCAGACCACCTAACACCCCAGAGTATCCAGCGGCCTCCCTCTGGCTAATCCCGCACCCCTTCATCAGAGAGTGAAATGGGTGTAGCATTTCCAAAAGGAAGCATAAAGTTGTTAATTTAGCCTGAATGGGGAGTGGAGGAGAGGCAGCCTGGGGCTCAGTGCTCTCTCAGACATGATGTCAAAAATTTCCCATCCCACCCTCACCTCAATAGACTCAGATACATAGACAGCAGAAGAATGGACCTAATGACCTCTGAAGAAAAACTCCTTTCGACTGGAAGATTCTCTGCCTAGACATCAAGACCCTTTCTAGTCTCTGCCCCCCCCCCCGCCAGGGGTGAAGGAACCCAAGGGAAGTTGGGATCCAGAGCTGGGTTCTGGGGGCGGGGGAAGAGGTGAGGCTCACTGGTAGACAGAGTCGACACTCTCAGCAATCTTGGACTGCTCCCCATATCGCAGGTCCTCACATGCTTCCCAGAAGCTCAGGTTTTCAGCTGGGTGGGAGGGAGGAGGGGTGACCAGAGGTGAGACGAGAGAAGAAATGTTCAGGGAGAAGCCCCTAGAGCCTGTAGCTGAGTGAGCTGGGGCCCCTGACTGCACACCTCGCCATCCTCCTGAACATCTTCCCATTCCCGCCCTACAGCCACTGGCTGGAGAGGAACAAGGAGTCCTTGGCTCACAATGTGCTGGTGAAGAGACAAGGCTCCAGGAACTGGGAGAGTTGGAGAACTGGGAAGAAAGCCTGGCCCGGAGCAGGAAGGACATCATCCTGTCAGGCATGCTAGCATCCAGGTGGCCAGGTGGAGTATTGAACTTGGAGTCAGACCCGAGTTCAAATCCTACCTCAGATACTTAACCTGTCTGCCTCTGTGCCCTAGCTGTTATCACCCAGGATCTTCTTGGGGCCCTGTATCCCCTACAGGAGCATGGCCAGGGGTGGAGTTGGGGTAGCTGTCTTACCGCTGAACTCTTTCTTGAGGAACTCCATGAACTGTATATGGCCCAGAGGATCCCCCAGGAGCTCCCCGAAGTTAAAGGCCCAACGCTCAACCCGCAACTTAGTAGGTGTCGTCACCCTGGCAATAGATGTGTAAGGAGGTGGCAGCTTCTTTTGCATCCCCCACCCCAAGGAGGAAAAAACCCCAAGGATCTCCCCCATAACTCTCAGAATTAGAGAAACGGATCCAGAACTTATTAGAGTGGTTACCATTCAGGGCCCCTTACAATAGAGACCTTACATGTTGCCTAGCTTGAGCAATGAGGCCCCCTAAATGGGAGGGCCTCAGTGAATTCTGGAGCCAGATTCCCTGTGTCTGGGCCCATGATCCCCCACCAAGAATCAGCAGTTAAGCGTGGGATGGTTATCCTAGTGGAAGCTAGGATGCTTCCAGTTTCTCCACCCACCCTCAGCAAGTGGGAGGAACACTCACGTGGGTGCATTCATTGACCAGTAGTCGGTATCGTCAGTGATCCAAGGGTTACTGGGCAGGCAGCCAGACATGATGGGGTCATGGGGCATGTACTGGTCGTTGAACTTGAGATATCTGGGTGGAGAAAGCCCACAAGGATAACAGGAACGTGGATTTAGAGCTAGAAGGAAACTTGGAGGTCAATTAGTTCAGTCCCCTCATTCTAGAGATGAGGAAACTGAGGCGCTGACTGGATAAATGATATGCCCGAGGTCACAAAGGTAGTAAGTGGCAGTGCCAGAGAGTGCAGATGATTTGGGGGAATGCTCCCCACTCAAGAAGGTCTGGTCGAAAGGAAAGGGCTGCTATGGTAAGAGTAAGCCCGGGGAATCCCAGATGGGGCTTTAGAGAGCCAGGGGAGTATGGGTGGGGACAAAGGAAGCATTTGGGAGAGATCTGGGGTGGACATGTGTGATGTCCCCACCCTCCCACCTGCCCAGACCCTGCTCCTCCCAATCCCGAGGCACTCACGCTTCCAGGCAGATAGAAGACTTCACCCTAGTCCTACCCATCGCTTTCTTACAGTACTCAATCTAGGCAGACACACAAGGAAAAAGGGGTGAGGGAGAGATCAGCTCTTGCCAGCTTTAAAGCCCCCAGACTAGCCAGGGATGGCCTTCCAGTTGGGTGGATGAGGACAGCCAACCTCCTTTGCCTTTAATCTTTGTCCATATTTACCCAATTAAAAAAAATTAAAGTGGGATATCCTCATAGCCAGGAGGTAACCAGATTCCACCCATAGCCCTATCATCCCGTTTCTCCCAGCAGGCCTTAGGCTAAACACAGGCCACATGTGGCCTCCAGGCCACAGGTTCCCCACCCCTGGAAGAATCCACGTGTTGCCCCTCCCTAGAACCCAAAGACAGTCTAAGGGCTTACCTCTCGCTTATAAAAATCCATATTTTTAGTCTGAAAAAGATTAAGACAAGGAGGGTGAGGGCAGGACAAAGCAGTCTGGTGAATGGGGGGCCATAAGAGACTCTAATGGGGAAAACTTCTTTTCTCTTCCCTCCCACTCACAACCAGAATCAGGAACAAGAAGGAGGCATAATTAATGAGTGAGTGACCTACGTGGCATAGTGGAGAGAATGATGGGCTTGGACTCAGAAGGACCTGGGTTCAAATCTTGCTTTAGACTTACCAGCTGCAAAACCCTGAGCAAATAACTTCTGTCTTCCTCAGTTTTCCCATTTGCAAAAAATGAGATAGCTCCTATCTCACCAGGTTGTCATGAGATTAAAATAAATTCTAGCTATTTTTATCTCATAGGCAAAAAGATAACAGTGCTCATTGGGTAGAACTCCCCTGATGATGGCAAGCTTAGTCTTTCCCCCACACTTCTGATCACTTCCCCGGTCCCAAGCCCTGGACTCGAATCCTACCAGCCTCTCAGATACCGGTGCCTCGGACCGTTCAGATGACCAGTAGAGAGTGTGGCTAGCTCAGTGGAGTCCGCCCCCTGCCGTCAGGGACACATCTGAGGTCCTGGCCTCAGTTGTCTTTCAGGTATATAAATGTCCATAATTTCAGATCTTCAGAGAACTCGGTGGTTTTTCTGTCATTTCAGTCATGTCCAACTCTTCATGACCCCATTTGGGATTTTCTTGGTAGGGATGCTGGAGTGGTTTGCCATTTCCTTCTCCAGGTCATTTTACAGATGAGGAAACTGAGGCAAACAGGGTCAAGTGACTTGCCCAAGATCTGAGGTCGGATTTGAATTCAGGTCTTCATGCTCTGTGCTCAGCCCCATGCTCTGTGCACTATGGCACCACCTAGCTGCCCATGGACAACCTTAAAGGTCATCTAGTCCAATCCCCTTAGCTACAGACAAGGAAATAGGCCCAGAGGAGAAGGAATTTGCCCAGGGTCATATGGAAGGTTGGAGACCAAGCTTGGATTGGACCCACATAGCTCCCATCCACAGGGCTGGGATCAGAGTCAAATCAAATAAGCTGAATGCTAACGGGAATCCTTGGTCACGTCTGAACTTTTCCACCCCAGGGAGTTACTTGAACAGTCCAGTATCTGGCTACAGCTGAAGGCTCTAGCCGTGGAGGTATCTCTAGTGTCAGGGTCTAATGTTAACCATACCAAGACCCCGAACTCCAGCGCAAAAGAATGGACTGGACTTGGCTGGAAGGGAAGAGGCTTTTGGAACTCTCTTTTTAAGGCTCTTGAGTCCAGGCAGGGGGAGGGGAAAACGAGGGAAGTTTCTGCTTCCCAGGGGCTTCCTTATTAGAAGTCTCCTGTGCCAATAAAATCACAGGTCTGGTTCCAAAAACAAAAAACAGTTGGACAGGGAATTCAGCCTGGCCCCAACCTGTCTGAAGCAATCAACCATTACCAGCCACGAGACAATCTCTTGTTGTCTAATCCCTCCCCAAACCTTCTGATCCCATATAGGGCTTCATAGCTCCTGGCCCCTGGGGGACACAGCACTGCCTTTTAAATCAGAGGGCCTACAACCTGTATCTCACATATACTAGCTGTGTGGCCTTGGCCAAGTCACTTGACCTGGGTGTCAGCTTCCCCAACTGTACATGAGGGGTTTGGGCTGTGTGGCATTCCAGGTACCTTCCAGTTCTAGAATGTATAATCTTAGGGATCATTGTCCCTGAAAATGCTTCCCGTTCCCTTAATCATCCTTCACATTGTGGTCAGTTCCTTCTTTGTGTATGGTCAGGGGAAGGGGGTTGGGGGTGGGGGAGAACCTGGGACATGTGAGGTCTTGATTCAAAGCCAGAGCTGGAACCCAGCTGAAGAGGGAAGAAGGGAGATGGAAAGCAGAGGGGGAAAGAGGCTGAGGCCAGCCCCGGGTATGGATCCAGAAATCCTGCCAGAGCTGACCTTCCTTGCAATTCCTCCATAGGGCAGACAGGCAGGGGTTATTTCCTATAAATGGGGGAACCAGGGCAAAGAAGGGCCACTCACCATCTGCACCCTGCTGGTATAGCAGTTACCCCGCTCAGGTCCCTGCTCCATCACATTCAGGACTCCCGGCTGACAAAGAAATGGGGAGGGGAGGGAGGGGACATGGAAGAGTCAACTCTCAATTTCCTGTTGTCCACCCCCCTCCCCAAACCCTCTGCCCCCAAATGGGCTTCACAGCTCCTAGCCCCTGGGTACGGTGGAATGAACACTGCTGCTCAAGTCAGAGGACCTACAACCTGTTTCTGATATGGTGCTAGCTGTGTGGTCTTGGTCAAGTGACTTGACTTCTGGGTCTCAGTTTCCCCAATGGTAAAATGAAGGAGTTGGTGGAAGTGGCATCCTATAGCTCTCTATAATCCTTATTCCTAAAAATGTTCATCATCATTACCTTCATCATTCCTCACATTATGGCTAGGATACAGCGGAGCCAAGTGGGCAAGAGTTTGGGTTCTGCTGCCCACTTGTCTGGGCCAGGTCCATGGGTCAGGGTCTCCCCTGGGCCCCCAGTGGAGGGTGGGAATGGAGCCAGCTTCAAACCAAGAAATCCTGCCCCATCCTCGTTTCACAAAGAAGGAAAGAGGAGCTAGGTTCCTGATTGACCTGGTTTGGAATGAGGGAAGGGGGGCAGGGCAGGGAACAGCTTAAAAACTAAACACCTTCTGGGATCCCAGCTCCCCAAAACCCTGCTGGGTGGCTCCCAGAGACTGTGATTACCTTCAGCTACAGCAGAGGGAGACAGAGAGCAGAACTGACCCCTGGCTGGCCTGAAGCGTGAGGGGGGTAAGGGAAGCAGATCGTATCCCCAAGTCCATCCAGCCAATTCTCTGCCCCCCATCTCCACATCTTCCCTCACTGTGAGGCCCTGCCAGCCCCCTACCCCTATTCAGCCGGCCTCAGAGAAAGTTCGTCTTCTGTGCCCCTTTTTCTGAGCTCCTCACCTAGACTCCCCCAACCCATTGGCCATTTCCAGTGACCACTTTCCCCGCGTCTGCCAGGCCTTTCCTCTTTCCTTTCATCCCCTCTACCAGTCCAGATCCCTCATTGGATAGGGAAGGAATCCTGAGGCCCAGAGCGGTCAAGTGATTTGTCCAACATCACAAAGGTCCCTGGTCTGAGGGGGAGGTGGGGAGAGTCTCTCACCGGGGGCCGATTCACCAGCCAATAAGTCTGCTCCTGGCACTCAATGACAATTCTGTCCCCTTTCCGACGCTGCTTGACTGCTCTGAGGGAAGGGAAGATGCTCAGTCACAGATCATGCCAGGGAGGAGGGGAGATGCTGGGTCAGACAGAGATCAGGCCGGGATGTGCTGATCTCAGGGGAGAGCCAGACTCTAATCCCTGCTCTCAGAGAAGATTAAGCAGAGGGGGGAAGGGGTGGGGTAGAACCTAAGGCTTGTTGGAGTAGCTAATACTCTCCCCTAACATCTGGAAAGCTTGCTGACCAACATCTGGCCATGCCCATTTTCCCTTATCTCCTTTCCCAGCTGAGTGGCTTAGTTCCTGGTTCTGTATCCTCCAGGGATCCATCCCTCCCCCACTCCCAGCCCCCCACTCTAGGCAGTGCTAGGAGAGAAGCTAGGAGGAAAGGGGAGAGAGCAGGGCAGGGGAGTGTTTGACACAGCCCCTGGTCCGGACCACAGACTCAGGGGCCTCGGCCAGTGTGGCTGTGGCCTGAGACAAAGGGCAGGGTTTGTTCAGGGGTAGAGGGAAGAAGGGCAGCTCACCTCAGCTGCTCCCGGGCCTGCATCACTACAAAGTCCCATGTGTGATTGATCTTCTTGTGTAGCTGGTTATAGTAATCCTGCAGGAGGGAGAGGAGGAGAAGGGCTCCAGCCAGGGGGCCCCCAACCCAACCCTACTCCTACCCCTGCCTTATGGCTTTCTATGCAGGCCCCAACCCCTCTAGGACAGAGAGGCAGGGGATAGAGCGCCCGGAGGCAATTCTGAGTTGGGGGGCCTAGCCAAGAGGGGAAGGATCTGGGTGGTCTGTGTGTCATCTGCATTGAAGAAATAAAGCAGTTTCTATATCCCCATGGGTATCCCCATCAGTAGGGAGATGGATCTGAATATCTTGGATGGGGCAGTGGGCTGGGGCTGGGACCGCCCTACCTTTTCATGCTCAATCAGGTCCCCTTGTTTCCGTATATTCTTCTTGGCCAAATAGATAGCTGGAAAGGCAGATGTGGCATGCACAACCATGTGCATGCATGTGCACTTGCCAACATACATGCATACATGTACATGCACCATACAGAGAGGAAAAACTGGTGGCTAAACACCAGCTCCCCCCAGTAGCATCATCCCAGGAAGTCCTACCCTTGTCTGTGGAGGCCTAATCATGTGCCTATCCCACCTGTTAGTGACCTTAATCCTGTACCTGATATAAGAATCTTTTAAAAATTAGTGAGAGTCTAACTGAAAATGAATTCCTCTGTCCTGTAAGATTATCAGACAGATTTTTAAAATGGGAAAATAATTTAACTTTCTGTACCATTATCAATGCAATTTTTGTGTAAAAATCCAATTTTGAGAATGTATTACCCAAAACATATTGCTAAACTTAAAACTCAAATCCAAAGCCTGAATTTCCATGATAGATAAACTTTGGAAGCCAATCATATACATCTATATGATTGAGAAAATGGACTAATCCTGTGGCTTTTTTCTGTGACTCAGGGCAAGTCGCTTAACCCACATTGTCTCTAAAATTTAAAAAAAAATTTACTATTCCATTTAATTAGAAAGCTTTTACATTACATCTTTATCTTATTAGTTGTCTATTTCCCCCTTTTGAGGATACCATCCCTGTATTATAATTTGACCATAAATATTGGTTAAAATTGTAAGATAGTCATATTTGAATCCTATTATAACAACTTAGAGATGTTCCAGTATCAATCTATTATTTAATAGATTTAGTGTTGCGCTTACAAAACTTCTTGATTATAGAAATTTGCTATAAAAGGAAAAAGAAAGACATAGTTATAATCATAACACAAGGAAAAATTCCCTTTGCACTGTTGGAAAAAAATTTCCTCAGCTCTGATTCCAGGCATGGGTCATATCTGACAGCCAATCATGTAGTGATAGAGTGTTAAAGGCAAGGCTCAGGATTAACCAGGTGGGAATTTTCCTTTTCCAGAAATGAAATAACACAATGGGGAAATAGAGTCAGAAGGATCCTACCTAGGCCATGTCCTAGGTCGTCCCCACCACCTTTCCCAGGCACAAACATCCACCTTTAGGCAGTTCTCAGACTGCCGCATATGCCATTTTCTACTATTGGCTTTATAACAATTCAGACAACTATCCTGGTAATCAAAGCTCAAAACAATGGTAAATTTACAATCCCATGAATTTTTACCCAAAATAGCAAAATTTCACTAACCACATCTTAGAGCCTGAATATTTTCCTGATGTTTCCCTAATAGTTAACATTTGTTAATTTAATTAATAAGTTAAAATTAACATTAATCCTTTACTTATAAATTAAAACTACCCGAGGCTTCAAACATACAGCAAATGCCTAATAGTTGACTCATCATTTATATGTTGAAGCCACATCTTTAAACTACCTCATACACTTTCATAATAGCCAAGATTTGCAAATGAAAATCTGTTATTACAGTAGATATTATTAGTAGTAGTAGCAATAGTGTTACTATTATCATTACCCGTTTATAACTAAATATACCTCATTAAATATTTAACAGTTTTCAAATATCTAATCCTTTTTTATCACATCCTTTTAAAAGCCCAATTCATATGTAACAAAATCCAGATTAAAAATTGCTTTGTCCAACACCATTTCTATTTTACAATTGTCTTTCAAATTTTACAATATAAGAGAATTTGGAAATACAATACAATTTAGAAATACAATTATAACACAAACAATAAACTTCAGGTGACATCAATTGCATTTTCAAATTATCACACTAAAATCATTGATCTTATTACCTTCGGCATTTTAAAACCACTTTAAAGTTATCTGGTATAGAACAATTACATTAAATTAGAGAAATAATAATAATGTAGTGCTTAGCATATGCCAGCCACTGTGTTAAGCACTTTACAATCATTACATCATTTTGATCTCACAATAACCCTGGAAGGTGGGTGCCATTATTATTTTTCTCTTTACAAACCAGGAAACTGGGGTAAACAGAGATAAAATAGCTTGCCGTAAATTACATAGCTAATACATTTCGGCAGCTGGAACAGAGACGGGTGGGCTCACCAAGGGCAGAGGCTAGCTGGCCCCCGGACTCTCCCAGGCAGCAGCTGGGAGGGGCCTGATGAAGGCTGGCCCTGCCCTGACAGGGCTTGAGGAGGAATCAAGGAAGAGCTGAGCCCCAGTGGGGCAGGAGCCCTTCAGTGAATAGCTGTGTGACCTTGGGTAAGTCCTTCACCCCCTTTGGATCTTGATTTCCCTTAATTGTAGAAAGAGGGAGCTGAACGGCATGACCTCCTCGCACCTCAGAGATCTGACATTCCTGTGAGTCTGACAGTCTCTGGACACCCCCCTCCACCACTATCAAACCATTCAAAATCTATTAGCCACAGCCCTGCCTCTGACCCACTTACCATAATCCAATTCAGCAGCTGGCCACTTAGTGCTCATCCAAAAATAGGGTGTCTGGGGGGGAGGAGGTGGAGAACAGGATATCATCATGGCTGGAAATAACAGAGTGGGGTCCCCTTTTCCCCCTCCAGGAAACCTTTCTGGAGGAACCTAGACTTTACTCCAAATTTGTAGTCAAATCAAGTCAACAAGCTCTATTTTTTTTTAAGGCAATTGGGGTTAAGTGACTTGCCCAGGGTCACACAGCTAGTGTCAAGTGTTTGGTCTGAGGCTGGATTTGAACTCAGGTCTCCTGACCTGAGGGCCGGTGCTCTATCCACTTCACCACTAGCTGCCCCTAACAAGCTCTATTTTTTAAGTTCTATGCATCAGGCCCTGTGCTAAGTGCTGGGGACACAAAGAAAGCCAAAAAACACTGCCCCTTCCCTCAAAGAGCTTACATTCTAATGTGGAGAGAACATGCAAGTAACTGTGTGACCACATGTTATTTATAGGATACCTTGGAGGTAATCCAGGGAAGGCCCCAGCATTGAAGGGCACCAGGAAAAGGCCTCTCAAATAAGGTGAGATACTGATTCCTGGCACTGGACAGAGTGGTACAGAGCTGGCTGCTGTGGGTGGAGAGGATTAGCGAAAAATTAAACCTAAACCTTAGGCAGAAGCCAGATGCTCTTTCAGGAGGATGGAGAAGCAGAAGGATGCCCTTTCCTGAGGACAGCATCCCTATTTCTTCATAAACAAGCATGTATGGTCTCTGCCCCTCACTTGATTCATAACTGTGGCATTGGAGGCCCTTTACCACCCAGACCAGGGCCCCAGACTACCTCTCTAACATTATCCACCACTACTGCAAACAGATCCTTTCTGTTCTCTGAATTGGATTTTTTTAATTCTACCTGCCTTTGCTCATGTCCTTTCCCTCAACCTAAAATGGCAAAGGAAAGAGCTTTAGCCTTGGAATGAGCGGTCCTAAGCTCGCTCTGCCTTGCGCAAATTCCTTTTCCTCTCTGGGCCTCGGTTTCCTTATCTGTCCAATGGGGACAATAATGGCTGCCCAGCTGGCTCCACAGGCTTGTCGTAGTGATCAAACAAAAATGTGCTTTGTAAACTACAAAGCCCTGTATGCTTTTGAGAGGCTGTTATTTAAAGCCAAAAAAGACCTTAGAAATCCTTTGATCCACTTCTATAGGTCCTGCAGCCCCAGAGGGGGAAAATAGCCCAAGGTGACACACAGAGGAAGGATTGGAATGAGCAATGAGTCGGGAGTTACAAGTTCAAGGTTTGAATCTCAGCTCTGCCCCTTGTTTCCTGAGCAAGGCATTTCACTTAGCTGAGTCTCAGTCTTCCCATCTGTAAAATGGACAGTTTTAACTAGAGGGTCCCCAAGGGACCCTTCCAGTTCTAAACTCCTATGACCCAATTCTCTGTCTCAGCCTGCTTCATCATCTCCTGTAAGTGAGGTCTCCTGTAGGGTGGCACAAAGCTTATTTTGGCACCAAGACAATCTTGTTCCTATCTTCCTCCCAGACTCACATCCCATGGCTACCACTCCCTTCCACACAAGAAGAGGGTGGGGCAGGCCTTAGGTGCCCAGCCATCAGACTAAGTGCCCTCCCAGCCCACCTTCTGGGGACTCCCATCTCTAGCTGCAATTAACTTGGCTGGAAATGGACTTCCCAGTCAGCATTAGGAGTGCCTCAGTTGTTCTCCCTGGCTAAGTAAGCTCCCTGCCCCCCCCCACTCCAGCACAGGTGCTGAAAGATATGGGAATAGGGAGGAAGAAAAGGAGGTGGTAATGATGATAATGGAATCATAGGGTTGCACATTTAAAGCTGGAAGGAACCTCATTTAACAAATAAGGAAACTGAGGCCTAGAAAAGTGAGCTGTCTTCTTCAAGGTCATACCTCTTGTAATAAACAGAAAAGCAGGGATTTGAACCCAGGACCTCATATTCCAAATCCTTCTCACTTTTCTCTGGCACTCTGTGGTCCACAAAGTTCTTTGCTTCATAACAATCCCGTAAGATAAATGGCTCAAGTATTAGCCCCATTTTACAGAGGAGGTAACAGGCTCAAAGAGCTTTTTAGTGATGTGCCGGTAGTCATACACTATTAGGATGGGAGTAGTAGCACCAAGGCCTGAGCCCCAGGCTTCCAATGGTGAGTACAGTGCTGTCCCTGCCACCACCTCATTCCCTCTCTTTTGCCATTTTTATGAAGTAAAAATAATATGTGAAAAATGCAAATCAGGTCTTTCGCTTTAAGCGAAGAACTGGGAGAGGGGCCAGCTGCAATCTAGGAGGCCTGAGGGGGGTGGGAGAAAGAGAGGGACTAAACTATACCTATCTACTGGTTAACTGCAGCCCCCACACACTAATCCTAGAGAGCCCCTCCCTCTTTGGAGCCAAACCCAGGAACTGGGTTCCCTAGGCCTTTGCCAGGTTAGCTGGCTGGCTGGAGGATGCCCCACCTTTAGGGCTGGACACCTCTCTACCACCACCATCAAAGCATTGAAAATCTGCTGTGTGACCTTGGGAAAGCCCCTTACCCTCTCTGGGTCTTGATTTCGCTCAATCATAGAAAGATGGAGTTAAACTGGAGGGCAGCCTCACCTGGAACCTGTAAGGGGAGTCATCTGCTCGGAGCACGAGGCATCGAGGGTCCTTCAGGGGATAGATGTAACCATGTTTCACAATGAGATTCCCCAGGTGTAGAGACTCTGCAGAGGGAGATTCAGGCTTAGATCGCTTCTGGAAATGGTATTTAGTTCTGGGGACCACTTTTTTTTTTTTAGTGTTGATACCTTTGATTTTTACATAACCTTCACTTCCAAATTTATCCCTTTCCTCAGTTCTTTTTTTAATGTTGTATTTATTTTATTTTTAATTTATGGAATAAAACAAGCATTTCCATAACAGTATAATAAAAAAAGATGATTGCACCTGAAACTGCAAATCTATTATGTACAACTTGCTACTCTTTTTTAAATATATAATAAAATTATCATGTAAATTTCTTTTTTTTTTCTTTCTCCCTCCCCACCCTAGAGATGGCTGCCATTAGACACAAATATGTGTATGTACATATATGTAAAATCATTCTATCTGAGCTTCTGTTTATCAGTTATTTCTCAACCCTTCAAACAAGTCTAACAATGTATGTGTAATCCACACCTATAGTTCCCCAGTTCTAAAGTAAACCATAATACAAGGTGTCCCAAAAGTTTTAGTGCAGCTTTAAGCCTTAATATTAGCTAATTATTATTATTTAAGCCTTAATGGCCCTCTATTCTGATTAAATCATACCTCTGGTCAAAAACAAAACCACATGTGCCAGGCACTGTGGCTACAGAGACTATAATACCATCTAGCATTCATAGAGGACATTAAATGTTTGCAAAATATTTGACACATGGTCTGATAATAATTTGTTGTTCTTCAGTTGATTCTCTGTGACCCCATTGGGGTTTTCTTGGCAAAGATAATGGAGAGATTTGCCGTTTCTTTCCCAAGCTCATTTTACAGATGAGGAAACTAAAGCAGCTGAGAGAGATTAGATAATGAGCCTAGGGTTATATATCTAGGAGGTGACCAAGTCAGAATTTGCACTCAGGTCTGACTCTAAGTCCCCCACTATCCACTCTACCAGCTAGCTGTCTAATTTCTGCCCTTACAGGGCTAATATTCTATTGGGGGAAACATGTATGCATCAAAGTGATTAAAAATAATACAAGTTTTACATTATTGCATATTGTATAACCTATATCAGATTGCTTGCTATCTAGGGGAAGGGAAAGAAGAGGAAAAGAGAAAAATTTGGAACTCAAAATCTTTCCAAAAAAATGAATGTTGAAAATTGTCTTTACGTGTAATTGGGAAAAAATTCTATTAGAATGTTTAAAAAAAACCATACAAAGTTAATTTCAGGGTGGGGAGACATTAGATACTAGGAGGAATCAGGAAAGGCCTTGTATAGGTGCCAGAATGAGCTGGGATTGGAAGAAAAAGCAAGGGATTCTAAAAGAGATTTCCTCATCTGTCAGATGAAGCATTTGGTGTATTCCTGCACTGAATCCCATGATCCTGTAAGCCCTGAGTGAGGAGAAAGAGGAGGAGGAGAGAGAGAAGTGGGGAGGGGAGGAAATGGAGAGGGAAGAGGAGGAGGTAGTGAAGGGAAAGGAGGAGGAAGAGGAGAGAGAGGAGGAGGGGAAGAGAGAGGAGGGAAGGTGGAAGAAAAGAAAGGGGATAAGGGGGAGAAAGTGGAGGAGGGGAAGGGAGGAGGAAGAGAGAGGAGAAGGAGAGGAGAGGAAGGAGAGGAAGAGAAGGAGAAGGAATGGAAGAGGGAGAGGAGTGGGAGGAGGAGTGGAAGGAGGGAAAGGTGAGCAGAAGGAGAAAGAGAAAAGGGAGAGGAGGAGGAGGAAGAAGAAGAAAGGGGAAGAATAGGAAAGCAAAGAGGGGAAGAGGGAGGAGGAGGAGAAAGGGAAGAAGGGGGTGGAAGAGGAGGGGGGGAGAGAACAGGAGGAAGACAGAGTGTGAGCCAGACGAGGGTGATCAGAAACTTGAGGGGAACCAGCGAGGGATTTTGTGTCAGCCCAAGCCAGCCTCCAGCAGCTCCCAGCCCAGACCCCGGTTATTCTCAGTTATTGCTTCTGCCCTGCTATTCAGCCTGGGTCTTCGCTATCTTCCAGTCTCCTGAGAGGAGCCGCCTGTTTTTCTGCAGTGGGTACAGAGCAAGTGAATTCAACCCTGGTCCCCAGTGAGGATTAGATAAAAGCCTGGCTCTCCAGTCCCATTAAAGGATGCTGGAGGGAGGGGCATCAGGCTTCTAGAGTGTGTGTGCAGGACCAGGAACCTGAGCTCTGCAGGAAAATGACCCCCATAACCCTCATGGAGGTTCCAGTCCCCACACCGTGCTCCCCAGTCCCTTCAGGGAGGTCCCAGCTTCTATTTAACCTGGCCCCGCCTTCCCCCACCCCAGGCCCCATCTTCTTACAGATTATAGAATCTCAGAGCTGCAAGGGACTGCCTAAGGCATCTACCCCAACACACCTACCCAACCAGCCCTCATCGAGCTTTGCTCTAATACCTCTGGTGTTGGGGAACTCACTATCTTTGGCAGCTAGCTCACTGCACTTGGAGATTACACTTCCTAACAAGGAATTAAATTAGGAACAATGATCATCTCGAAGACTGGACTGAGCCCTCAGACAGGGAAGGGTAGAGGAAAGACCATGTTTGGAGTGGGAATGGGAGACCGCAGCATGACGGGCAAATAAAACCTGGGTTTCTCCTGCTCTGCAGAGGACTTGGAGGACAGGAGCAATGTTTAGTCAGCCCCTTCTGCCTGAGAAGCAGGAAACGGTTCCTCCCAACCTTGATACTCCCTTACCTTCCTCTGAGATAGAGAATTTCTGGATGAGCCACTCCACAATGTCACTGCCTTTTTGAGAGAGACAGAAAGAGGAGAAAATGAGACACAGAGAGACACAGGGAAGACAGACCCAGTCCTGATATCTTGGCTCCCTTTCTGCCTCCCCTCCCCCTTCTTCCTCCATGTGAGGAGTGAGAATTTGGCAGCCCTGATAAGACTGGTGAATAGGCAGGCAGGAGGGAGAGGCAGATGCAGGGCAAACGGCATGGGCAAAGCTGAGCAGCACAGAAGGTGCCAGATCAGACAACCCCCTTCCCCAGAGCAGTTACCCAGGCCAGTGGGCAGGGTTTCTAAGGCTGGTGATGTCACCGGACACAGGGGTCACTACTCCACCCCAAGACCACAATTAGATAGGGGGAGACTCTCTTCATTTCTGGGGTCCCAAGGGAGAGCTCCAGAAGGGACACTTCCTGCCCTACTCTGTTAGCTGGGCAAAAACCTAGGGGCCCCAAACACAAAATGGAGGTGAGATGGGGTGGGGTCAAAAAGTCCGGGAGATTTGGGGTGGAGTGGGGACAGCACAGCTCTCCAGTAAGAAGAAGATGGAGCCTTGGACCCCAAGCTCTTCTCAGCTCAATCCCTGCCCCCAACCTGATACATAATTGATAACCAAGTGCATTAATGGGAGAGAAGCTATGGGGGAAGGGCAGAGAAGCTCCCCTTTCAGAGCTTAGGGCTGGTGGGCTGGGCCACCAGCACCACAGGGCTCAAGTCCCGGCACTTCATCCCAGCGCTTCACTGAGCTGTGCGGCTCCCTAGGGCCTGGTCAACTTCCGTACACAACAGATCTTCCTTTGCTGTCTCTCTCAGAAACCTTTCCAAAGTAGTCTCCCCTCTCCCCGGAGGAGCCTTAAGCTGAACTCAGGCACCCTAGAGGCTTCCTCTGAGTTCCCGCAGGACTAAGGGACTCACCAGTCATGGCATGGGGAATCACTGTGATGAGCAGGCGCTGATTCCGCATCTTAACACCCATGTCTGGGTCCTGCATGCCCACAATCACACGCTCCATCTGCAGGATACAAGGATGAGAGGTGATACTCCCCCCCCTTCCCCCTGCTCCTTGCCCAAGGCTACAATAAGCCTAGACACTGTCCAGGGCCATCATTTCTGTTGGCTCAGGGAAGGAGGTGAAGTCTGCCCGCCTTCGGTCTTCCCTCCCCTCACCCCTGCATCCTTTTCCTCTCTCAGTGGGCCCCACCTCTCCAAGCACTTCAGGGACCCAGTATTCTCTCAATTTCTCCATTATCAAAGTCTGCTCCCAGGAGTATTTGCATTTTAACTAGGGATCAAGTCAAATGAATGAATCTTGAATGGTAGAATTTTAAAGGTCTCTTTTTGGTTGGGGAAGTGGACAGGAGGGACTCCAGAACCTCTGAAATCACCCTAGATCCCCTCACAAGCAGCCACATCTTCTGCTTCTGTATAAAATTGTTCCTCCTCTCTAGGGGACACCCGCTCTGTGCTCCTGGGGGAGGAAAAGGGGAGGGACTGCCTAAGGCTGGGCAGGAAGCCAGAGGTAGAGGAAACACCAACCTCCTTTTTAACATTTTGTCCCAGGGGCTGAGAACTCTTGGGAGGGCTCCTGGTTCTCCTTCCCTCCCTACTCCCCCACCAAGAGTGAGAGCAGGGCTCCCCCCTCCCCCAGCCTTCCCTCCTGGGGGCCAGGGCAGGAGTCTAGTCTATAACAAAGCAGGCTGCTTTTATTTTTAGCATTTGACTAAATGCCTTCCCAGCTCAGAGCTTGGCTTTTTCCAGGGCCAAGGGAAGGATGGCGCCGATCGGCCTATGGCTTTGCTATCGAGCTGTTTATTCCTTCCCAGAGATCAACAGTCAGGCCTCCCTGAAAAGCCAATGGAATGAGAATGCTGGGGACAGAAAGGATCTGGGAAAGTGTCCTGAGAGGCCTCTGAGGAAGCCCAGTAGAGCCTGTTTAGCTCCGCTAAAGTTGCAGAGATTCTGAGGGGGAACCGAGCTTGGAGAGCTAGACTACAAAGGATCAGATGTTTAAAGCATGGTGTAGGATAATAGCCAATCAAAACTGGGGGTTGGGGACTTTCTCCTTACCGACCCTGAATTTCTTCATCTGCAAAAGTAGGGATTGGACTGATGGTATCTAAGGTCCTTCTATAGGCTAACATTTCCTGTTCTAAAGACCCCTCCAGCTCTGACCTTCTATGTTCTAAGGACCCTTCCAGCTCTGACATTCTATAATGTGTTATAAGGGGCTCTCTGCCCCAAGGCCACTTCCAGCTTTAACATTCTATATTCTATATTTTGAAGTTTCTTCCAGGGCTATCACTCTGTGTTCTATGAGAGCCAATCCAATTTTGTCAAGGTACTTAAGGGTATAAGAATAGTTCCAGAACCTGGAAAGACTTTAGCAGGGACCCATTGCTTCTGGAGAAGGACCAGGCCAGGGACCAACGGAAGCCTTTATGCACACACATCAACCTGCTCAAGGGAACCCAGAGTCAAGAGGCCATCAGAGAGAAGAAAGGAGAGGGCAGGAAGAGGGGAGAAAGGGTCTGAATCTGGAGATAAGGGGTGGGGGCTGCAGTGATGACTCTTCTGCTCCTCCCAAAAGGAGGCAAGTTAAGACCACTCACGACCAATCAGCCAGCTGCCACTGGAGGAACGTTGCAGGTCTTTTGGCCAGAAAGCTTAGTGTCCCCAAGCTAAGACTCTTTTCTCTTGCAGAAAGGACAGCAAGGCAAGGGATCCCCAAGGACCTCTTAGGGAAATGGGGTTTTTCCTGGTTCCTCGCACACCACGGGGCCTCTGCTAGGCTGTCCCTCTTCTGGGTTCCCCTAGAGCACAGGGCACCCCCTTCCCAGGTTCGTTCCAGGACAGAGGGCATCTGCTAAGCTATCTAAAGGTCCCAGGGCACTCCCCACCCAGGCTTCTTCCAAACCATAGTGTCTCTGCTAGGCTGTCTTGAGGGATAGAATCCCTTCTCCCCTAACCGCCTCCAAGTTCTCCCAGGCCACAGGACCTTCCCTGGGCTTCTCCCGCAGGACACAGGCTCTTCCAAACCCATGACCTCTTCTCCCCAACAAAGATGTGGCTGCCCCCCAGCCCCCTCTTTTGAATCCCCTCCTAGCAGTTGGCCAGGGAATCAGTAGACAAGAGAGATGAGCTCATTCTATCCCCAGGGGAGGATCATGGGATCACCAGGCACAGGGGCTTGGGGATGTAGGTTCCCTGTCCCTCTTACCTTGCTCAGGCATGGCATCTGGGCTTTGCAGCTGCCTCCCTGGTGGAGGGCGTTGATGGTCATGGCCCCTGCAGGGGCAGGCAGAGCTGGGCCAGGCAGATCGGGCGGAGGAGAAGGACAGAAGGAAGAGGAGGAGGAGAGCGGAGGAGAGAAAGAAGCCGACACAGGGTACTGAAAGCTCTGGGATGCTGAGCACTGAGCTGAAAGCCCCGGGGGGCATCCCGCCCACTGCCCCACCCGCCCACTGGCCTCTTCGGTTCTGCTGCCACCTGCTGGACATTTGAGGGTGGGTCAATTGGGGCGGATGGAGGACGAGGGGACCTAGCTTGCTGTGATTATTCAGTCCTTTTCAGTCATGTCCGACTGTCCTTTATGACCCCATTTGGGGTTTTCTTGGCAAAGACGCTTGGAGTGGTTTGCTCTTTCCTTCTCCACCTCATTTTACGGATGAAAAAACTGAGGCAAACAGTTAAGTGACTTGCCCAGGGTCACACAGCTACTAAGTGTCTGAGGCAGGATAGGTAAATAAACGGTGGCACTACTGACCTTACAAGATTCTTGGGGGGAAAGCACTTACTTGATGAGCCTTACAGGACTATAGGAAGCTTATGTTAATGCTATTAGTAGCTTTCCACTTCCATCATCAAACATGGAAGATTCAAACCTTTATTGAACATCAGCTGTGTGCCCAGCATTGTACTCAAGGTGGGGAGATAGGTGAAGACCAGGTTTCCCCCTTAGACAGGATGCAGTCTCCCTTGGGGTGTGGGTGATCGGAACGGAATAGACTCAATCCCGTGAGACAAAGGGAGAACACCGTTGGATGGTGGGTGATGGAGGTGGGGCGCAGAGAAGGGGGTGGAGGTCTTCGTGTTTCCAGTTCCATACGCTTCTTTCCCCAAAACAAACCCAGTGAGCCCAGACTCAGGAAGTCTGCTCATCCCACGTCCCAAAAGAAAAGCCCAACTCCAGGGGGCAGATCATGTATTTACTCACCTTGGGCATGTTCTATCCCTCCAACAGAATATGAGGTCCTGGGAGGCAGGAGCTACCTCAGTTTGGTATTTGTATCTCCAGTACCTAGCACAGTCCAGGTATATTAAGTCCTTAAATGCTTGTTAATTGATTGATTGATTGATTGAGGAGAAGGCAGGGACTCCCAGGCCCCATAGAGCCAGAGAGAATCACAAAGTGTTAAGAGACCTTGTCTGGGTCTTAATCCCAGCCCACACACCACCAAGAATCCCCACTACAACAGCTCATCTGACCCTTCAGCAGCCCATTTCTTGTTTTCTAGGAATTACGACCAACAGACCATAAATTTAGAGCTGGGAAGGGTCCCTGAGGTAGACTAACCCAATTTTATGTTATTAATGAGGAAACTGAGATGCAGAGAAGTGACCTTGAAATCTATGTTCTTGATTTCAACCCCATCATTCTTACCACTAATAATAATAATAGCTAGCATTGAGGCAGCTAGGTGGAGCAGTGGATAGAGCACTGGCCCTGGATTTGGGAGGACCTGAGTTCAAATCCGGCCTCAGACATATAACACTTACTAGCTGTGTGACCCCATTGCTTAGTCAAAAAAAAAAAAGAATAATAACTAGCATTCATATAGCAACAACTATGTGCCAGGCTCTGGGTTAAGTGCTTTACAAATATTATCTCATTTGATCCTCACAGCCCTGGAAGGTAAGTGCTATTATCCTCATTTTACAGTTGAGGAAATCGAGGCAAACAAAGGTTAAGTGACAGAGGTGGTAAGTGTTTGCACCTGGATTTGAACTTGGGTCTTCTCAATTCCAGCACCCTAGTCATTGTGCCACCTAGCTGCTTTTGCCCATATTCACATTATACAATCTCTAGGAGATTTTATGCCTCTTTATCACTTTACCTTCAACTGGGATTATCGTATGGGACAAACATGGGACAATTCTCACCTCTAGAGGTGAGGGTCAGACTGGGGAGAAGCAAAGAAGAGTGATGTTCATTCATCCATCTGTCAATCCACTCATTCAACAAACACTTTGCTTATAGATCCTAGAAGGGAGTTTAGAGACCCACTAAACCAACTCGCTGACTTTACAGAAATACCCCTGGAGGTGAAGTGATCTGCCTATGATCAAACACAGAGTCAGGAGCAAGAGGTAAGATTTGAACTCAGATCCTCCAAGTCCAAATCCAGTATTCTTTCCACTACATGTCAATGTTTTTACACCCATTTTACAGGTGAAGAAACTAAGGCTTAGAGCGCTAAGGGATCCCATGGTCATACAGCTAGAGCCAGTATTCAAATCCATTTCTTTTGACTTCAGTTCCAGTATTCTTTCCGCTGTACCATGGCATCATTTCTGGCTAGTCAGGGGTTCAAAGAAGGCTTCATGGAAGAGGAGACACTTGAGCTAGGTTCTGTAGGATGGTTAGATGTCTATGACAGGGACAGAGAAGCAGGCACTGAGAACAAAGTGGTCTCTGGGTGGTTCTATGGACAGTGTCTTCTGGTCAGACTGAAACAAAGTACTGCATATAAATGAGGTAGAGAGAGAGAAGACTGGGAAGATAATGAGGCATCAGAGTTCAGAAAGCCTTGAATGCCAAGATAAGGAATTTGTAGTCTATGCTGTAGGTACTAGGGAACCACTGATCATTTTTGAGTTTAGAAGTGACATGATCAGAAAAATATACAGGAAGATTACACAGATAGCAAACATATGTAAGATGAATGGAATGGGGAGATTGGAGGGCCAGAAACCATTTAGGAGGCTATTGCCCTAGTCTAGTTTTAGGGCTAATTAAGACCTACATTAGGGAAGTGAAAGTGTGAGTGAAAGGGACACAACTATGACTAAATTTAAGAAAAAGCAAATTCTGTGAATAAATTATTATTTTATGTATACATTTTAAAATTTATTTTTAGTTTTCAATATTCAGTTTTATAAGATTTTGAGTTCCAAATTTTCTCTTCCTCTCTCCACTCTCCCCTCCCCAAGACGGCATGCAATCTGATATAGGCTATACATGTATGATCAAATTAAACATATTTCCACATTAGTCATGTTGTAAAGAAGAATCGGAACAAAAGGGGAAAACTACAAGAAAGAAATAAAATAGTAATGTTTCAATCTGCATTCAGACCCCATAGTTCTTTCGCTGGATGTGGATAGCATTTTCCATCATGATTCTTTTGGACTTGTCTTAGATCATTGCATTACTGAGAAGAGCTAAGTCTATTCAAGTTGGTCATCCCATAATGTTGCTGTTACTGTGTACAATGTTTTCCTGGTTCTGCTCACTTCACTCAGCATCAGTTCATGTAAGTCTTTCCAGGTTTTTCTGAAGTCTGCTTGCTCATCGTTTCTTATGGAACAATAGTACTCAATTACATTCATATAACACAACTTGTTCAGCCATTCCACAACTGATGGGCATCCTCTCAATTTCCAATTCTTTGCCACCACAAAAAGAGTTGCTATAGATATTTTTGTACATGTGGGTCTTTCCACCTTTTTTTAATGATTTCATTAGGATACAAACCTAGAAGTGATATTGCTGGATCAAAGGGTATGCACATTTTTATAGCCCTTTGGGCATAGTGCCAGTTCTCCAGAATGGTGGGATCAGTTCACAACTCCACCAACAATGCATTAGTGTTCCAGTTTTCCCATATCTTCTGCAACATTTATCATTTTCCTGTTTTTTTCATGTTAGCCAATCTGATAGGCATGATGTGGTACCTCAGAGTTGTATTAATTTGCATTTCTCCAATCAATAATGATTTAGAATATTTTTATATGACTATAGAGACCTTTAATTTCTTCATCTGAAAATTGCCTGTTCATATCCTTTGACAATTTATCAGTTAGGGAACTTGTATTCTTATAGATTTGACTCAGCTCTCTATATATTTTAGAAGTAAGGTCTTTATCAGGGACACTGGCTGTAAAAATTGTTTCTCAGTTTTCTGCTTTCCTTCTAATCTTGATGGCATTGACTTTGTGCAAACCCTTTTTAATTTAATGTAATAAAAATTATCCATTTTGCATTTCATAATGTTCTCTATCCCTTGTTTGGTCATAAATTCTTCCCTTCTCCATAGATCTGACAGGTAAACCATTTCTTGCTCTCCTATAGAGTGAATTTTTAATTGAATGAGTGAATGTTAAAGCATTTATTAAGCACCTACTATGTACAAAGCACTTTCTAAGGCTTAGGGGTACAAAGAGAAAAAATCCAAATAATCCCTGCTTTCAAGGAGCTGGTATTAGGGTGAGAGACCACACATATGGAAGGTTTCAGCTGCTAGACAGATGGAAAGGTCCCATGGTCCCCAGGGTGCAGCAGCCAAGGAAATGGTAATACCTTTCCTTTAATGCCATTTTTATGCATATGCATTTCTGATGCAGAACCATTGGACAGTGATAAGGACTTTGGGGCTAAGAACTTACTTTTCCAAGTCTTCTGCAGTTATGGCTTGGGGGGTGAGGGAGGGTGGGGAAAGGAATGGCGCAGGCTAAGGAAGTTGTCACCAAGGTGGTTTGCTTGGACTATGGCTTTGGGGGGCCAGGCTAGAAGTAGGGCCAGTGGTCTGGGAGGGTGGATGCTGTGCTGTTCTCAAAGTTCTTTGGGTTACCTACTTGTCAGTGATAGCTGTTCAGTGGGTGGTAGTGGAGTCAGGATATTGGGGAAAGGAGCAGGAAAATGGAGGATGAGGTTGGATATATCAAGGGGGAATATTCTAGAGAAGGGGACACTTCCCAGTCCCAGTCCTCCTACCCTGCCCTGGCTGGGTTTCCATCCCTGAGATGCAATTAATCTTTTGTTTGTCTCAGAATTTATGCTCTCTTCCTCCCTCTCCCCTTCAAAACCTGCAGATGAAATTTAGGGCAGTCTGACTGCCAGTCTGGAGGAATAGTCTAAGGACTTCCTAGCTAGGCAAAGGCAGGGGGAGGAGGGTCGGGATTTGCCAATGATCCACTCAGATATGTGGGTTAGAGGGCACGTCCATTACTATGACTCCCCTTCCCTTTTATCTGCCCCTCCCCACTAGGGACTCTCCTGCTGCAAGTCAGCAAGCAGACCAAGGTTGCCCTCTTGTGACAGCCAAAGAAAAGGCACCAGTGTCCCCAGAGAATTCAAAGTTTCCAGTCCCATCCCCCAACCAGGAAGGGACTCCTGGGAGATCATTCAGTTCACGCACATCAACTCTGCGTCCCTT